TACTTATATGATATGCTCAATATAGTAAGCTACTAGTTTTGCTACGCAGGAATACTACCATCAACGCCCGAAGAAGTCGCAAAAGCAGTAGGATAGCAGATGAAGCCCAGGAAATCAGGATCGGTGGCAGTCAGAGCAGCAATCTAAAATACAGCTAAAAAAGAAAGCAAGAAGGATCTAGCTACTTCTACTGCATTTCTAAACACCGTGCGTGCATCGGACAGAACAAGATATGGAGAAACAAAGTCCGTAGACAGCTTCAAACCCACAATGAAGTTGTAGTTATGAGTTTGGAAGCCTAAATAATTATGATAGCCCAGGCCTACACATTTCGGTCAATATTAACTTTGTTAGCAAGTTATAATTACTAGTAGTCAAGACCATCTGTAGTCGCGAAATAATTTAGGTGCTAGTTTCATGGAGTTTAATCCGAGAATAATATTAACGTCCTCATTAATTTTATCGTAGTTTAAGTTAAGTAAGGGGTAAAATAACAACCATTTTCCTAATAAGAACAGAATAATGCTAGTTACAAAATTAATTAAGTCATCATCCATTTGAATGTGGTTTACAATTTTAATATTATATTTAATAATAATCACTTTATGAACCCAATTTACAGTTGAGGAAAATCATAGTTTTGTATCAAATACGGAGCCCTTTTTTCTACGAAATCCTACACACATGAAGTTGAAAAACAATTATTAAATATTTGACAACTCTTAGAAAGTATTCTTCTTGAAAATAATAAATATGAACCCGATTCTATAAACATATTCGTTATTTTCACTTGTATTTTTCCATCGTTAATTGGCAAGATGACCTTTGGATGACAATGTCTTTTCACAAAGGATTTTCGGTTGGCCAATTTCTCGGCTATTTAGGTGAGTTTGGAAACAAACATTGTATAAAAGTCTCCTCACAAGAACACTGTGAATTTAAGTCGGTATCTGGTGAAACCCAGCTTCATTGACATCGTAAACAATGTCAGTGATTCATGCCGTGTGCACTAAACCTGCTTAGAGAGATAAAACAATAGAGTGCGCACACGCCGGAGAATTCAATCGGTCACGTTTTAGCTGGATCGGGTCAGGAAATAAAGCATTATAATCATTATTTCGAAATATTTACGCAGCTGCACGTTCAAAATGAAAATTATTGTATTTTGGAGCATGGAATATTGTGTTATTCAATTCGCACAACAGTCGTTGATACATTCTTGAAACTACGAACTGCCAGAATGTTAACTATCGCCACATTTTCTTTTAAATGAATACCTGTGTATTGTGTTAACAATACTGACTATTTGAATAATGTTTAAATAATCTTGATATGAAAATAATTCATTTTGAATTCTCAGAATTTTCTGTAGCTGGACGTGGAATGTTGAAGTATGATTTTAATGTAAGTAATTAGATGTTATCTATGCATACTTGTATTATTATTGTACAAATATTTTACGTTGAGTGTATCGAATGTCCATTGTAAACATTTTTATTGGAAGAACTTTAAAGCAATGGAATCTTTAAACTTGTAAGCACAGTTGATCGGTGAAAGTAAAGATTTTTTTCAGATCATCAGAAAGATGATCGTTCAAGATCACTGAAAATACTTGTATTCTGATCCAATAACACACACCAACATTATTATTAACGTTGTATTATTATATTTCATAAAAGATTCCTCACTGAGCAAGTAAATGAATTCAACAAAGTATAAAATCAAGGTCGCCATTTTATGCAATTACGTAATGCGGCTAGCGTGGCGCTCAAGTGCCGTGTGCGAGATAGATTTGGCAGATCATTATTGAAATAAGGTTACTGTGAATTTTTCGTTTTTTAACAGATGGAAAATTACAACAAGTGACATTTTATAAACAAAATTGTTGTTCCCGTGTTTTTGAGTTACCATCACCTACAGAAGCCGGCTTGACTTAAAAACAAAAGTTCATTGTACGAAATATAACACAATAGACTATAGAGGCTATAGTGCCTCTTTTGAGTACAATATTGAAAGTAGGACCGAGCGTAAATAAAAAATCTAGCATTTTTAAGCTTAGATGGACGCAAAGGGCTGATGAGGTATTTAGATTACGGCTATTTGAGCCTCGAAAGATTTTCAAACTTTGTAGATCATTTTCAAGGATTCTAGAGAGAACAATACGGTTAAAATTCAAAAGAAAGGAGATATTATTTGAATTCATATTTTAAAAAGATTGCCTTTTTTGCTTTAAAAAGTTTTCGCGTGTTTTTTAATTAAATCATTGAACAACAGAGGGCAATGACGAAAATATGTGATGAATGATGTAAATACGAAAAAGTTATTTCTAAATAAATATAACCTGGGATCTAGACAAGTTAATTATTTATCTTTGTGCCACCGAGATTCAAGAACATTCGTTCTTTAATGTATCTCGAATAATCTCACAATTTACGAAGAGGTCTATTATTAGAATATCCTTAAGCTGTTTTACGAAGGCTGACATTTAAGAAGAATATGATAAACCGGAATTTTTCACCATTACCTATGCCACAACTAGATGACCTGCTGATTTGAATATCTATCCTAAGGCATTTATAACAATTTAGGCAACTAGAACACCATATCTCAAATTTCAATCCTTTTTCTCTTAACTGTTTACTTAGACAGTTTTAATCGCAGGTAACGTACACTCTTTGAAGTTCAAATCAAAATCAATAACGCATAATATAGGAGCTATATGTGGGTTGTTGTTAAAGTGGAGCAAAAAATATGATTTAGGGATAGACAATATTCCTTTTTCATAAAAAAACTTTTCGTTATCTGCGAGTGTTTAAGCAATAAGTATACCTAACGTTGCGTGACCCAAAATTCCTCACATATATCACCTAACGACCGTAGGGGCTCGACAGATTGCCTAGCACAACTTTCTCGGCATCTATCAAGTGCCTTATAACAAACACTTCTGACATGAGTGTCCCTGACATTTGTTCTTGAAAGCTATTTACAATTCTTTTATAGTTTTAGAGGTCTAGTTACACGTTACAGTCGATACGGGTGAAGTTTTTTGATTGAACTAATCCAAAATTTACTTCAGCTATGTCTGTGGTTTATTTTAGGAGACTGAGATTTAGTGCGAACAGAAATTAGCAGTTTGATTACTGGGCCGAATGTTTATTGTTGAAATTACATTCGATTTTCACAGAACAGTGTCCAATATTTCTCCGTCGCGGTCATTCGTATGAACAAAAGTAGTTTGTGTTAACCCTATAAGTGGTATAAAAATGACAAAATGCGCTATCTAGTTGAAGAATTACGACAATCGTTTCCGGCCTGTGTCAACATAGTATCATGATCAACAATTAACACTAATGAGCAGTAGAGAACTCAGCTATTGTTGAAAAACTATACAATAACAAAACAAGATATCTTTTAAATAAGTTTAACAGGAAAATGTCGTGTATCACTTACTGTTAACTACAGAGCGCCAGAAACCACTAATCACTGATGACGTAATTAATTAAGAAATTAAATACAACTTAGGTATTACGTCCGGTTATAAATGGTATTGTTTGTTTTAATTTGATTTGACAAGGTTAAGATCGGAAATACATAAACACAAGAGCTAATGTGCATTAAACTGGCGTACAATGCTATGCCAACATAGTCACTAGCAGTTTAGAATTAGCTTAGTTTGAGGGGGTTTTTTGTCTATTATCAAAATACCTTATCTGTTCATTCTAATTGGAAATAAACTACATTGTTATTGTAATAGTTTAGATTAAGAATTCATGAGAAAATACATTCGGGCCGTTATATTAAGTTCCGCGTCGTTTTGTTACCGCGCTTAAACAGCTTGCCCTCTCAAAAGCAAGGTCACTGAATGAGCGACTGGTTCATTAACAATGCTCAACATTTAATAAGCTTCCTAATGCTGGTGTGGTATAATGAAACTGACAAATGCAAGAATACAGTTTAAAACTACTTTAAATTTCAATTGAGCTGCATACGCTTCTAACGTTGTACGGTTATTATGGAAACCAGAAAATAACGGGTTCCATATTTTAATTTGCGGTTGCAGTTTGATGACAGCCCATTGTCCATACGACTCAATGACCAGAGACGATTTCGCAACAAACCTACGTTGTAAAGCTTTTCCGATCATTCTCAACATAGACAAAGGTTTAATTCATATTCCTTTATTCCGAATTTTGGCTGAGAATCAACAACCGGATGTTTTATGGGGTCAACGATTTGTTTAAACAAAAATAAAGTGTTAGTATAGGTGCCAGAGGCGATAATACGTGTTACAGATTTACTTACAACATAAGTAGGTAATTTTTTAATGAGTATTAAATGCGTTAATCCTGGCCATTGAAATTAGGCAAAATTCGGCAGTTTTTACGACTTGGATTACATCTCCGAAATCGTTTGAAATCAGCTTAACAGTCATGCGCCTAGCAACATTACAGTCTAATGCAGAATAGCATAGATTTGATACATACATATTGTTCTGAGCTCTATATGTACCTTCGTGTAAATGTAATGCACGACAGAGATCCCCTTGGTTTCCTGTCAACACTATCTATTGGCGATAATTTAGAAAGTGTTGCGTCTAGGCACACGCAGGCAGAGGACGCCTGAATTCCTAGTTATGTAACACCTAAACTTATGTACACAATATATCATTATTTGAAACATTTCCAATTTACTGTTTTAACCTTAACCTCCAGATTTTAGTCATGCATATGACTAAAATATTCTTATTACTCTTTACTAATATAATTCTGATATAAAATATGTTCAGTTGTATGGACAGGAGACATCACTATGTTATCTTAATCTGTACATCTCGTATTGACTAATGATTGTTTACTTAACCACTGCTCTTATCTACAAGTGGAATATTCATATTCTGAGGCAAGTCAAGACAACATCAACATCTCGACGCAGTTGTTATGATTTAGGAGAGTGACTCATAGGCAACATGAATTGTAGCACTCGACTCATTGTGTGATGCTCGGCTCGAAACATGAAAACATAGCCTTAACAACGATTTCATTGATTTTATTCAGACAAAATATGTACACACTCCAGCGGCGACTCCAAACCATATAAAAATATAATACAAAGCTTAAAAAACACGGTGATTAAGCTGTATCGACGCGGGAATGTATCGGTGTCGTCGGCGAAACGTTAGGAATCACGGTCACTCACTCGAGTTAGCTTTGGTACCTCGTAAATGCACGGGTCGCTGTCGCTGAGCACAGCACTGAGAGTCAGACGCTGGCCGCTCGGCCGGCCTTCACCGCTAGCTAGAGCGCGGCGGACTCGGGCGCCATCAACGGAGACAGCGGGCCCGCCACGCGCCGCCCGCGCTCCAGCTCGAAGCGCAGGTCGGGCGGCGCGCGTCGGCTCGCAGCGCCGTCCTCCGGCAGGAAAGCCGCCACCAGCAGCGCGCAAATCACAAGCAGCGCACCCAGCACGAAGGGCGGCCCGGGCACCATGCGCACGTACTTCTCCTCGCTCGGCTTGCCTGGCACAGCATGCTCTTCATTCAGGTCTACGTGGAACAGGTAGAAGATCACACCAAACATGGCCGGGCCCAATCCATTGCACAGACCACGGACACCAGTCACCATGCCCTGCACCACTCCTTGTCGGTCTGCCCGGCTGTTCACAGACACATATGCACTGATTGCAGGGTATGTGACAGAGCCGAGTGCAGCCAGCACTCCCGCAGCCCACATCATCCATGTACGGCTGCCAAAGCCGTACCACATGAGTTGCAACATCTCAAACACTAGTCCAACCATAATAGTATGCTTCGCTCCAAGCGATCTCATTAAGAATCCAAGAACCACTTGTACACCAATACTGAGCACTCCTACAATTGCAATAAATATTGCCACTTGGACTACACCAAAGCCCATCACTAACTTCAAGTACACAAATATGCACGAATACTGTCCAGCTTCGGGCAAGTATGAGAGAAACACAGCCACACACAACATTAGCACTGTACGTTCAGCACCAACTTTCCGTAATGCTGCAAATGGATCTGCTTGCTCCCAGCTTATAGCAGGACCCCAACCACTGGGTCTGACCTTCTCTGGAAGGCTTTCAGGTACTGCAACCATGATAAAGAAAACATCCAGAATTGCGACAGCAGTGGCAGCGGCAACTACTAGTGATTCTCCATACAGGTCCATCAGGTAGGCGCCCAGGGCAGGAGAGATGACCATGCTGGCGGCGAAGGTAGCAGACACAAGGCCGTAGGCGCGCGAGCGCTCCGCCTCGGTAGTCACATCAGCCACATAGGCGAATACGATGGAGAACGTCACGGCAAAAACTCCACTGATGCTGATCATTGCGAAGAACCACCACGTGTTGATGGTCATCAGCGGGATAGGCGCACATGTAAAGAACACAGTCACCAGCAGGAAGAACTTGCGACCCCACACGTCAGAGAGCGCGCCGATCAGCGGCGCAGACAGGAACGACAGGATGCCCTTGATGCCCATTATTAAACCGTTCATCAGGAACGTGTGATCCGGGAACGTTACATTCAGCACCGAAATTATCGGCATTGTGAGCAGTCCCCACGCGAAAAACTCCAGAAATATCACCACCAAAGCGTGGAACACGGAGGGCTCACCGATGCCAGACATTGTCATAATCCCGTCTTTCATAACAGTTTTTCTATTCCGTATCACCATTTCTACTTCAGTTTTTGTGGTCTTCGTGGGCGTCATTTAAGATTTATATGGTTTATTTTCCTAAAGAACTACTTATATTAGAGACATTTTGAAAACCTAAGCACTACATGGAGGAAAACTTGGTAAAAACGAGCAAGTAGTAGCAACGTCAAAAATCCACTGGAAAATTGAAAAACAATTCGATATTTGTGTTGCCATTGTATAATTTTTAAAACTACAGCAAATTTGAGAAAACCTAAATAGTTTACTGAACTTTTTACAGTGTGATGTACTTTTCATTATAAATTTAACTATTTTTTTAATTTAGATTGGGTAATATCAATGTACGAGTGTCTATGAAGTTATAAAATTTATTACATCGGAAATTAAAATGGAAATATAAATTATACTACTTTAACATTGTTGCAATAATGGCAACACATTAATAACCATAGACTACCATTCCCTACCACAGAATAAAAATTCACATAATTTTATTTCTATCATACAATAGTAACAACTAACACAATAATAATTAAGTTTGAAGTGTGCTCTAGTTACGATTTCTGTTTTTTTAAAGTAGTTTACTTTTAATACAAAATGCGAATCATCATCTTCCTGCCCTTGTCCCGTTTTATTTGGGGTCGGCGCAATATGTTTTTTTCTTCCATTCTGTCCTGTCACTCGTCACGCTATCGCTAACTCCTCTGTCTTCCATATCACTTCTCACACAATCCATCTATATTTTCTTTGGTCTCCCCCTGCCTCTCCATCCATCCACATTTATACACATGACTTTTTTTGTTACATGCTTTTCATCCCTCCTTTTCACATGGCCATACCAAGACAAACGGTTCCCTTTCAACTTTTCAGTCACTGGCGCCACTTTCAAACTTCCTCTAATATACTCATTTCTCACTTTATCCAATCTCGTCACACCACACATCCATCTCAGCATTCTCATCTCTGCTACATGCAATCGCTTTTCATCCGTCTTTTTCAGAGCCCAACATTCTGACCCATTCAGTAGGACAGGCCTTATCACTGACTTGTAGATTTTACCCTTCAACCTGAGGGGCATCCGTGGGTCGCAAGTTGTTCCAGTGACCTGTCGCCATTTCATCCATCCTGAGTTGATCCGATGTGCCACGTCTCGGTCTATCTCACCATTTCCTTGGATAAGCGAGCCAAGGTACCGAAAAGGTTGGTATGGGCGTTCCGGCGAGAGCTATGGGCACAGAACTAGAGAGACCGCCAAAATTGCAGAATAAAATGCGAATGATGTAACTTAATAAATGGAAAACCTGAAACGCGCGATCAATACGCACCATAGACAAGTCGAAACTGACATTTCTATTTTCTGTTTGAGTTGTCAAAATTGAAAGGAAGAGGAGGCGTCGACTCCTTTAATTTTACAATCACAAGTCAAAAATTACAATATTTCCAGATTTACACAATGGTAACGATTTTAATCTTGCATCGATAACGCTTTATTTATTTTTAAACCACCTAACAATTAATTTGACGTCCATTCTCCACAGATTCGTTTTATTCTTATCCAAAACCGTGCGGGTAAAACTAGATTGGCAAAATGGTATATGAACTTTGATGATGACGAGAAACAGAAGTTAATCGAAGAAGTACACGCTGTAGTCACCGTCAGGGACGCCAAGCATACTAATTTTGTTGAGGTAAGTAAAAGAATTGTTTGACATAAGCCTAAAAGGCTATTATACTGTTTTAAAAAAAACCTCAAAAATTTAATATTATCTTCAGTTCAGGAACTTCAAAATCGTATACAGAAGGTATGCAGGGCTGTACTTCTGTATATGTGTGGATGTAAATGACAATAACTTATGCTACTTGGAAGCTATACACAATTTTGTAGAAGTTCTGAATGAATACTTCCACAATGTCTGTGAGCTGGATCTGGTGTTCAACTTTTACAAGGTAATTTTTACAATTTATATAGGAATAACATAATATGGTATACATTTAAATTATCTTCATATCATCACTGAGGAATTTGTGACTTCCTCCCAGTCAAATTAGTCACTAATCAAATAAAAAACTGATTTAACATTTAAAAGAAAATGTAACACTGCCCTGTTAGTTGTATGACCATGTTGGGAACAATGAGTTTGTTCTAATTCTTATAGGAATCTAGTATTGAGCCTAATAGAGATAAGACTACTTTTACTTTCCTAAATTTTCTTTCATCAGAACCAAACAAACATTCTGATAACAAGTAACAAAAAAGCATTAGCAAAATTAAGATTAGCACTTAGCAATTAATTAACAGACTCATTTTTTATATTATAAATACAAGTTAAAAAATAATTGACAGAAGATGTATGGAAAATGTGTAATGTCTTGTTTTATTAAAACCACTAGCTTTTTCCCGCAACTCCATTTACATGGAATAGTATAAAAGCTATCCTATGTCCTTTCCTCCTATTTCTGTCAAATTTCACAGAAATCTGTTTAGTAGTTTAGGGGTGAACAAAAGACAGACAGACTGAGTTAATTTCGCATTATTTAAATATTGGTATAGATTTAATGTTAAATTGTCTAGTATCCAAATAGGAAATGTGAAAGCTAATTGCATAACTTTTTCATAATTCCAGGTCTACACAGTAGTGGATGAGATGTTCCTAGCAGGAGAGATCAGAGAGACATCGCAGACTAAAGTCCTCAAGCAGCTGCTTATGCTCAACTCCTTAGAATAAACTCAAAGAATTATGTAGCTGTAGAGGTATCCAGAAGCAAGTTATTGAAGACTTGGAAACAATGGGAACGGCCTGGGTCACTGGTCATGAGTGATATCATTCATTACTCATCACCAGTTGTCCCGATAACATAAAAAAATCCAGTTTTTTAGTAGAAAAATATATTTAAATTCCTGTTTATTCAAGTCTTCTTTAACATTCTTGGCTATGTCTATATTTAGTGTAATTTAGTAATTTGTACTGTATGATGATTCAGTGTTGCCATGTCAGAGAATACTCAATGCAATGTAACTAGATTTGTTGTAAAAGTAATGTTTTTCAACTGAGTATTTTGCAAAGTGTGATACTTGAACATAAATTCCTGACCTTGTCATGTGGGTTTAACATAATATTAATATTATCATCTTAAGATTGACAATTGAGAAATATTCTTTACAGAAATGAATGGAAACGAGAAGATTCTATATCTCTAATTAGTAATATTAATATCATGTTTGACAGAAATTCCCACAGTACATAGTGTATACTTTAGAATGGCAACACTGATAGTATTTAAATATTCACTGTTACGACATATTATTATTATATTGTTACTGAATAAGATTGTATAAAGAATACTCATTCATTCCATCTTGTAGGAACTCATAAAGAGGTGAATTATTAACAGTTCAAGTATATATCTACTGTTGTCATACATTAATGTTAAAGTGTCAGTTATTATTTTAATAATCATCGCATATCTCTATAATGCGTGTCGATCTTCTTTTTGTGGAGGAAAAATTATCTTCTTTCCTCTCGCCCAGGGTATGGCGGGAGGGAGCGTCAGACTTACTGACTAAAAACCTCCCATTCGTTTTTCTGCTCTAGGCAGAGGCCGCGGTACCTTGTAACGCTTGACATGTGGCCCCGGCTAAAATACGTGTTGATCTTGAAGAATCTTTACACTATTAATGAAGTAACTTATAAAATTATTCCCAGATTGGAAATGTCTATTTGATAATTGAATGACTTTTTTGGTAAAGTGTTAAAGTATATATTTGTTCACCATCATAATATGTAGATCATAATCTAATGTATATAAACTGTAATTATAAGAGTTTATTGGTGTATATTAGAGTTAATAAAATTTATTGCTTATTTATATAAATTTTTCTTTGCAATTACCTAAATAAAATATACCTCAGTTTAAATTTATATAAGAGTCCAAGAATATCGAAGGGTCAGCCTCAAGTCACAGGAAATTCACCCTTATTGCAATGCAAAATTAATATGCTTACTTTTAGAGACGCTTCGGTTCCGCTCTAATAAAAATAAAACAAAAGTTCAATAAAACCTGATTTATTTATAAAACATAAAGTTATAAAAACGAGACGTGTAAAACTCAGCGACAGTATATTATACTACCTTTACCTAAGTAATTACAAAACTTATGCAGAGTAAGACGACCCGTTTATTAAAATAATTATATTGCACTCAAACAAACCGCTAAATAATAGAATATGCATAATTCAAATAATAATAACAATGTTCCTGGATCCAGTCGTAAAGTAATATGTAGGTTTTACAATCGACAAATAACATATTTTTTCAATCTCCATCTTAGTAAAGATAATAAAATAATAACAGCTGATTATAGACAATCTTCCTTATCTATGATCTATGCAATACAAGTAAGTAACTACTTCTTACGTAAATTGATCCTTATTACGTACGCCATAAGGCTGCGTTCTACTCCCACTCCCAGTCGTGTAGTATTGGCGGGAACATCCATTCGTCCGGGTGGCCTACGTGGGAGAGATAGGGCCCCATGTCGAATTTACTCCATCTAAAAAACATAAAACTTCCGTTCGAGTGCACCTCCAACGAGTATTATGATCATTCCTAAATCCCTTTAATTTCTAGAGCATCTTACACTTGAACTTTGCAGAGACCATATGCGCATACGCAGCACGAATCACTGAGTTTGTGTAACTGTAGGTCAACGGACACGTGCCAACGACAAAGTGCGGGAGAGCCATGCTTCGGCACGAATGGGTCGGCTCAACCGGAGTACCTCACAGAAAATCGACGTTAAACGTTGTGTATCGCCGTGGGGATGAGGTTACCGGACGTCCAATCCTTCTATCCCTAAGTCTCCAAATCCCTAATCCCCAAAAGGTCGGCAACTCACTCGTTACTCCTTTGTTGTTGCGGGTGTCCATGGGCGGCGCTGATTGCTTACCATCAGGTAATAAGGACGAACCTTTGCCGACATATCACATAAAAATTACATAGATACAATATCATTGGTACCTGGTCTGGTCGAGCCTTTCACCAGTTTGGAAATAATTCCAAAACTGTATCATCCCAATATTAAAGTAAGTACATTATTAATAAATAAGATAGAGTGGTACGCACCGGAAGGGCGGTATTCCCCGTGAGATGTTGTGTGTAGGGCTAGCTATGGCCAGGAACCGATAGCTGCCGCGAAGATAGGCGCTCGTGATCTTGGCGTCTGTAGCGCCGTGGCTGCGGTGACCCAGCGCGCGGAATGGAAACGTTCCTGCCAAGAATAGGTAGATACATTGGTAGGTATCTGCAGCCTAAATAGGTTCGCTGAGTGGTGTCTTTCTGCCTTCTGTACAGTCAGCACAGAGACTATAGGTATCTACTGCCTTAATATTTTGACTCCATAGGGATCTACACTTTGGAACGAGCAAAAAGCTTCACCAGAAGACAGGGTTAAAGTCTGAAAGTTCTCAGGGATGTGGTGATGATATATTCTTCGGTAAATGTTTTAGTTATTCCAAAGATCAGCAAGCATAGGGAAGTATGAAGTATCCACTATTGTACGTTTTAGTAGGTATGTTACCGTTGGCAGGGTTGAGGTCGTTCCTGGCAGCGACGGCGTTGCAGCCGGAGTAGGGCGGGTTGCAGTTCTCGCAGCGCGACAGCGGGTCATGCTTGAAGTCGTTGTAGCGCATCGTGTTGAACATATCGCGCAAATTGAAGATATCCGCCTGTAAAAACAAAATGAAGTGAGGTCACCGCCGCCGATCACTTCCCTGAGGACATGGCGGTGCTCAGCCCAAGCATAGCACACTGCCACTATATGTATGCTCCACCTTGTCCTCTGGGTGGGCCTCAGAATATTGACAAACAGGAACCTACCGAAGCTGTCTTGCCCAGTAAGCACCTGCGTCAGGCGGAAGGTGAGCACGCTATGGCGTTTCTCAAGCCACTCCTCAAAGAGGGGTCTTACCGCTGCTATAACAGAGTGCCCGGTCCTCGATTGCGATAGACATTCCGCCACGCAGTTATTTGGCGCGGCAGAGGATTTTTGCCTCGGCGACGGTTGTTGAGAGGGTACACAAGCCCTTAAATGACTGAATAACAAAATCTTACTAGCTAAAATCCATTCCCCATTCACGTACCATCCCCCATGGATTCCGTCTGTTGTTAAATCAATCATGGATGAAAAGCATAAAGTCACCTGTTTCTGCTTGAGTATCTTGGCCCTGGGGTTGGTGTCGTACCCGAACCAGTCACCGAAGGTAGCGGTGCGCACGTTGCCCCCGCTCAGATTGAAGATCCGCGGGAAGTAGGGGATGTTGTACGACGGGAAGTATGTAGTACGTGTCAGATGTTCCGTCCTGGTAACATTAAAGCCAACCGAAATTTGCTAGCAAAGAATGCAAAGCTAAACAATGTTGCTGACTGATTTCCATAGCAATGTCAGCTTTCGTAGACAATTCCCTCTCGGAACACACTCTTTATGCAGTTTCTATTCAATAACGCTTTCACGCAATATCCATAAATCGATAACCAAACTTCCTTTTGTTAGAGATTGGGGTCAAACCAGCAGCCGTATTGCCTGATGTTAGGCAATCGCATCAACTTTGGACACCCACAACACTGCAGGTATTGCAAGTACGTTGCCAGGCTTTTAAGGGTTGGGCATAGTAGATTGGGGCTGCTACTAAATGCTTCTGGAACTTGGCGTGCACTCACATGTCTGCAGACTCGATGATGCCAGGCAACTGTTCGACCACCCAGAGCAGGCCTTCCTTGATGAAGCCGGGCGTGTGAGTGGTGCGCGGCTTGAACTTCTTGTAGTCCACTATGAACCTGGGAGAAACGACATTTTGATCATCAGATTTTAAGTTGAACGACTTGTGTTAGTATCACGAGTTGTGGACTAGCCACTACTAGTGGTAAGGTATTTATTGTCAGTTCAATTTTTGAAGTTTAGGAGCTTAATTTTTAACAAGAGACTTTTCAGTGTCCTCCGTGTTCATCTATTGTTAGCTAGAAAATAAAATGTTAAACATCTTTGCCCGACTACAAAATCTGACCAATGTGCCTTTAGGCTATTCCTTTTATAAGTAAGGTGGCTCACCACTGGTTGTTATATGTCCCGCTGTTGTGTCGGCTAAATATGTCGACCCACTGCTTGCCGGTCCTCGCCAGCCGGTTGGCTACCATAGCCCGCGCGTACTCCAAGATCTGATATCACCAATGTTTTTTAATAAACAGTAGGTATTATTTAGCCAGTTATTTTTACACGCCGGAGAGCCATGCTTCTGTACCTAGATAGATACTAGGATACGAAACTATGACACTGTCTAGGTTCTTCCAATCGCATAAGACAAGGTCGTGTCTTTGTGTATATAAGTATGCTACGAAGAATTTATCCAGATAGTAACTTATGGTGAGTTAGAAGTATTAAGAACTAAAATCTTCAAAAACTGCTACTGCTGCTTCATAAACTGTTATTTGAAAGGAATTCGGAAAGATATAGTCCCCATAAGAAAACAATTAAACTACAACAAAGTACCTGTCCCACCGGCTTGACGTGCTCGAAGAGAGAACGATTACTGTTGCCGATTGTGGTCTCCCCGGCCGTCAGCCCCGACGAGATGATGTAGAAATCGTCTGTGGACTGCCGTGGAATCTTATGTGACTACTTTAATATTTAGGTATAGGTATTATTTAATGCAGTTACTCATATAAACATTAAATAAGTATTTGTACAAACAGTACCTACCTACTGGTCGTTGGAAATATTTGTTTAGATCTGTTATTACCTATCATCAGGTTGAATATGAATACTAGACAAAGGTCTTCTTGTAAAGAGTTGTGTTTTTGATAAGCGCAGACCATAATTTGGTCACCAATTTAAAAAATGCCGCTGCCTTTTTTTATTAGTTATTTGAGTGCGTTTGAGCACTATCGCGCCTGATGGAAAGCAATGATGGGGTTTAAGGTGGAACCCACAAACTCAAAAAATGCCTATTGACTCTGCCTGTTCCTCTTTGTCTAATCACAATTTGTCAATATGAGAAGTTCAGCTGCCACTGTTATGGATGAGCAGATTTAGATGTCTCAAGCGTGCTAAATATCCTGTTAAGTTTGTTACGGCATTTTCATTGTAATATTGTTCCAAGTTTAATACGTTATGTGTTATAGTTTCAGGATGTAGCTACGTGGTTCTAGTTACCTGCACGAAAGCAGGGTACGATGTGAGCGACATCTTGTAGCCGGGTATGATCTTCTTTCCGCCGGGCAGCACGTGCAGGTACATCACGTACATCTTGTGCAACCGCAGCATCGACTGGTAACTGCAGTCAACGGAGGTAAGTAGGAGCTGTTCTCAGCGTAGCACATTGGGTAGGTACGACCAGCTGCAGAGAAATGGACCCCCCCTGAAGTAATAGGTATGTATGCAGCTATCTGCATAGGGGGATCCTTTTCTCTGCAGCTGAGTGTACTAATGACATCTATAGTCGTTTTCAGGAAACCTTTAGAGTATGCATAGTTTAGCTCTTACCGTGTAGTCTGTTTTAAATTTTGGAGTTAGATAGGTAGGTAGGTACGTGAAATGGCTTAAATAGTATAATTTGACTGTTTCACAGTCGGATGTTAAATTGACTTCAAAGTAACATAATTATGAGTGATTAAGAATATTTTCGAAATTGTCACATTTCTTCAGTTACCTTTACTACACAATAACTAAGGGTAAGATTCTTAATGATACCTGTTCCAAGTGACATGTGAGACGTAAAGGTTGGAGTGGTCAGGAAGCAGCTTGACAAGGCCGGTGCAGTGCTCGTCAAACAGCCTGTTTTCAGGGTTCGACTTCGGCAGAGATAGTGCGAATGCCAACTCGTCCAGGTCACCCAACATGTTGATCCAGCTGATGTAAATCAGTTTGTTGAAATAGCCATACAAAGTCAAGGAAACTTTTTTTTTGAGGGGGCAATTTAACAAAATGTCTTGTATAGCTCTGGCCGGGGCGAGAGGGAGGGAGGGAATGTCCGCAACTGCGGCTGAACATTAGCCCTTTTGGGCACTCTCTGTAGTTTGTTGGCTCTTAGAGGCGCGCGCGTAACGCTACGCTCGGGTCTGGTTTTGTTTAAGCGGCGAGGTACCCTTGCTCGCCGACCGCAAAGTACTTACATAATATCCCTTGTGGTCAGCCACTGGTAGGGGTCCGTGGTGGCGGCGTTGTAGCCTACAGCTAGCCCTTCTAGCTGGATGTAGTACAACTTCATCTGTGGATACATTACATTTCGTCACATTGAATAATACCTACTTAGTTTGTGTTAAGTATTGACTAGCCCTTCAGCTAGGTGTACTGACGATATCCGCAGGGTGGCTGGCAGTTGTTGGATAAGATGAGATGAACATTGAGCTCAGTGGCGTGCATTTGGGGAGACCTTTGTCTAGCAGTGGACAAAATCAGGCTGATGATGGTGATGATGATTGGATTTACCAAATTGCTGGTTGAAACAAAAAGATAATGCGCCTAAATGTGTAAATGTATTTATGGAGTGTCTATTGAAGAGTGATTCACGTATCTAGATATGTTAGAGTGAATAAGGACTGTTGCTGCTGATTTTGAAGTCAAAGGGCAAGCACTTTTTGCTCTTGGAATTATTGCTTTTATTGTATTGTAGCGAAGCACGCAAGATCAACAGTAACTGATCTATTAAGCAATTTTTGCGCGCAAAATTACACAGAAAGCAAATGCCAATGTAAAACTTTTGGGCAGTAACCTGCCAGGTGTTATCAACTCGCGTGGTCGAAGGCTCCTCTTTTTCAGATCTAAGCGAAGTTCCGGAAATTTTTTTCATAATAAAAACGATACCTAATGAAGTAGTAAGGACTACTACCTGATACCAGTACGAGTTGTTGGAGTTGGTCTCCACCATGGAAGACATGTATTCCTCGTTTTTGTCCACGAACTCCTCGATGAGACCGCACACGTCCGTCTTGTTGTAACAGTACCTGACAGAATAACAATATTATAATTATTTTTCCTCATGTACCTACGTTTTTTTTTACTTGCAATAAACTAATGCTTGACTGCGATCCTACCTGATGGTAAGCAGTGATGCAAATGGTAAGGCGCACTAGTTTATTAAGAGCTTAATCACTCTAGCCTTGAAGACACCTAAATTTTATTTGGACGGAAAGACTGCAGCCGGAAAACTGTTCCAGTCCCTCGATGTACGTGCGGTATAAATTTCGAGGCAAAACGCTTAGTCCGGGCCGCAGGTGTCTCAACAACGTAAGGGTGGATATTTGGATGTCCGAAGGTGAAATGGGGATGTACGTTACATTATTCTAAGCTCATATAGAAAAAGGATTGCAGAATAAAAATAAAGAAAGATTGATGATAAAACAATAGCATCTCACCCTTTGAGCATGTTCTGCCAGTGCATCCAGATGAGGTCCCTAGTGAGGAATCCCTCCAGGTAGCCGGCCGCATACGCCTGCTTCTCATCAGAGAAGTCTCGTGACGAGTGCAACTCCAAGAACGCCCAGCTTTCGTTAGGAAAGACATACTTAAAATCGGTGTTTAAGTTCAAATAACTGGTAAATGTCACTCCACAACTGGAAGATTTTCAAATGCATGCTTATAATAAATAAAAGAATCAACATTAGGGACGATTATGTAGTACGTAGAGTTGGTATATAAACGTACATAGTACGCCACATAATTAAAGTACCTAAAATAACAACTACCCTCATTTTACATGCGTACATTCTGTATGTATTAGTAGTTATAATGTAATTGTGTGGGGTAGTCTTTCTTTATGTGATATGTGTGGCGGGAAACGATCACTCACATTACCTGATGGTAAGCAAAGCCATGAATACCCGCATCGCCAGACCTTATGAGCGCATTTTGAGGATAAGAGTTGTGGAGATTTAGGGATTGATTCAGTCTTTCGTAGCATGCGTAGATATGTATGTAGGCTTATACATATAAGTTGGATTTATTCATATTAACATGGATAGTAATACCATATTGACACTTCACATACATACATAGGTTTGAATTCGAACACATACCCAGTAGAATTGATTTCATTGCTGTAGGTGGCGCGGGCGACATATCCGTCAGGAATATCCGCGAAGTATTCCGAAGTCTTCACCGTCACCTTGTTTCCATCCCACACAACATACCCGTACTTACACTCGCAGATCGTACACAAACTAGCTACCAACAAAACACACCAGCTCGGGTTCATCACGGGACTTTAAATACTTTGAGCCTCGACACTGTCGCTTGTTTATTACCACTCTAGTTCTCACAAGATAACGTACTTTCCTAGCGATGACGAACATTTATCATTCATTTGAGTAGTCAGCGTTTGTAAATAAGAATATTCAAATGTAACGGTTCAAATGACGACGCGGCGCCGTTTTGACGTTTACTGTCAGTGCAGTGTTGCCATTTTATGATTTATTTTAATTTTAAATAATTTTTCCATTTGTAGACTTTATGGTTGAAATGATGTTTAAGAAGGCAATAAAATTTAATTAAAAAAAAAAAAGAAAACTTGTCAGTATAAATAATTTATTGTCCTTATGTTTTAAAACCCCTTATTTTTAAGAATTTCATACTGTTGCATACTGTATAGAAAGTTTATACATGTTCCAAATTATACGCTTTGGTTACTATGTAATTAGTAGGTATGTACAATGAAGATGACACTATCACATTAACATACAACAAAGAATATCTCTATCGAAAAAAAAATAGTTTACCTTATGAATAAAAAAAAAACAAAAACAAAAATTAAAAGTAACATACATGTCATTTATTCACAGACAATTTGTTGTCTAGTGGCGACCAATAAAAAAAATATCAAATCTAATTCACGATTGTATTTCAGGTGGCCGTGAGTTTCATTCCTATTTCCCCGCACTTGTAGCCCACCTCGCGCAAGAGGTAGGGGATCCTCTCGTGCGCAGGCGCAGACAGCCACTCGCTCACGTTCACTGCGACAGCCGCGTAGCCCTGCTTCTCTAAGATGTCCAGCACTAGACGGAATGTCCCTCGAAGACGGTTGCTGTTCATTGAGAAGCAGCCTGGTTGGAAGTTCAGGACGCAGACCCTGGAAATTGGAAGATTATGGAGAATTATAGGTAAACAGGTCGTAAGTGTAGTTGACACGCACAATGATAAGCATGTATGTATATTGGGCAGTTTATGGCAACAACTAATGCAACCATAACATGTTGTAAGTTGCAATTCAAATACGCAAAAATATTTGTGATACACAAATTGATGTTGAGGGTTTGCGTGATATGTAATATATAAAATAAAGAGGAATAAAAAACGGTTGACATCTTGAGTTAAATTTGCAGTTCAGCTAAAGAAAAGACAATTCCAATTAAAAGTCCTAACCTATGCTATTTCTGAAAATCATACTTACGGTACGCAGTCTTTTCGTATATTCAAGTATTCTACCGGAACTTTCAAGTCTCCCGCAGCGACTGTGAACTTGATTGGGTAGCCGCCCTTCAGACATATCAAACAATCTGTAAATTAAAAAAGTTTCTAATGTACCTATAGGGGACGAAAAAGTGCCGTATGTCAACAGCTGCGTAGAATACCTAAATGGGAGGGTGATATTTATAAAGGGACCAGCCCACGTATAAACCAGAACCTTTATGCCAGGCGTGGAAATTATAGCATGGCCTTTCATGTAGGACGGATGATGTGAAGAGTAAACTAAAATAAAATACCAATAGAACACGTGCTGGGTAGAATATACTTATGTAATGAAAGCAATATTTCTGTCTTACCAGCGATAAATCCATTAGGCAGCACAACATTCTTGGCGACGTACCCCGAACCTCCGAGGCCGGCCGCCAGGTGCTCTTCCAGCACATCGGTTTTCCCGTGGATCGGGTACACAGACTTCAACTTGTCATGCAGATCTTGCGGCAGCGTGTACTCCTCGTTATGGAACGACCGCACTGCCTCGTACAGAGTCAGCAGCTGCAGATAGTCCAGAACATTGTTCTCCTTATCCGAGAATTCACTGACATTCTCTTTGGAGAACACTTTCTGTAGTATTTTGTCATCATAATATCCCAGCGACGCTAGCTCCAAGCATATCTTCGTCCAGGGCAGTGCGGCGTTCTTCCCATCAAACGCTGGGTTCTCGGAGATCTGTCGCTTGATTTCGTTCCACTGTTTGTCATCTGGCGTGAAGTTATTGTTCGACAAACAGTTGATGAAGCCGAATAAGATGTTGGTGCGCGCTGACGACAATGTGGTGGGGTTCGATGCTGCTAGCTCGCAGAGGTAGCTAACGAGGCCTAGGTGTGTGTGAGCCTAAACAAACAAATTAATAATTATGTAAATACTTCTACTTAATTTAGTTTTCAAGTTCTATTTCCCACGGGAAACTTAATGCAGGAGACAGAATGAATTAAGCCTTAGAGGCACAAAAAGGACTGTACAACTGGGAGAAGCCCAGTCATCAAACACCACGGAAAATTTACTATTGTAATGGGATGTTTAAAATGCGCTAGTAAGTACTTACTATCCTAGACATAATCCGCGCCACCAGCAGCCCCTTATCGAAGCTAACTTTATTCTCCACCGCATTGTTAGCGATGGCGTCCATGAGCTGCTCGTGGTAATACTCCGGGTGTTTCTCCAGGATCCGTCCTTTGATCCTGGCCGCTGTCATAACTATTTCATCGTAACGGAGCTTGCCGAGTGACTGCATTAGAATATCGTAGCAAATATGCAGTAGCTGTACTCTCGTAGGGAACTTCTCTTCCGTACAGTTCACTTGACACAGCGACCATATGATCGACTTGGCGACGTGCGCGTCTATAGTCTGGTCGTGGAGGAGCAGCCCCGTCACTATCTCATCGATGTACCTGTCTGGGAGATCGTGTGTGCAGCTAAACGCCAGCATGTCCTTCAGCAGCAACAGGTCTTTGGTGTCAATCTCATGCGGCAAGTGGATTTGAAAGGCTAGAGGCAAAGCAAGCTTCAGTGCATCGACCAAATGGTTGGAACGATCGAATTTAGTCAGTAGATAGTCCAGAAACATGATTTGCCTGACATTGATCATGTTGATGTAGCACCTGATGATCTGCAGCATGGTCTGCACCACAATGGAGTCGGCAGGCACCTTTAGGTAAGAGAGCACCTTCGTGGCCTCAATAGCCTCGCTGACGTCCAGCGCCCGCGCGTGCTTCTTAAAGTTCTGGCATAAAACACCGAACAGTGGATTCATGACCAGCTTTTCCGGTTCCGTTTCTAAACTAAAAGTGTGGAAGTGATTAACTATGTTATATATTTACACAAAGACATGTTATGCGATGTAATACTAACTTGCCAGACTTCTGTAGCTCAAACAGAGAGCGCAGTGCTTGCAGCATGTGTTTGTGTGTCATAGCTGGCATGTTCTCGTGGACAGCCGCAAGCACTTCCGCCGCTGACGGAGCCGCCATGATGCTGGTCATCACGGCGTCAGGGGAACCTCCTCTCGTCACCTCTGCTGATGCTACTGAGGATAAGGAAGGGCAACCTTCAATGCCAGGACTCCAGTTCCAGTTGATCATGAGATAGAATCCAAAATATATGTGGAAAATAGATTATGCTTGATAAAAAAATAAGATATGAAATCTAACTCTGGTTAGTTATATGGTCTATGGTCTACATGTACTGTAAAAAACGACAGAATTAAGTATAGCCAAGAATTATGTTGATGAGGTTAGCCGTATCTCAGTGAATACTTTTACCAGTGTGCAGTAGTAACAAAATATTATTCGGATTTAGGACCTCTCTCTAGTAGGTCTAAAGGAAAATGAAGAACAATTAAAGTAATATTATATGTAATAGGTCGGCAAACGAGCAGACGGATTACCTGATGGTAAGCAATCAGCGCCGCCCATGGACACTCGCAACGGAGGATTTACGAGTGCGTTGCCGACCTTTTAAGGGATTAGGGATTTGGAGATTTAGGGATTGAGGAGGGATTGGGGAAAGGGAAGGATTGGGCCTCCGGTAACCTCACTCACACGGCGAAACACAACGCAGTGGTTATTTCACGCCGGTTTTATATTATAAATAATAATATACAATTTCACAAACATATCACAACCAGATCCAATCTTGTGCGTTGCATGAAGAGGTGTTCCATGTACAAATTGCTATATTGGATGATGAATATAAATTAAAAGGGTATGTAGATTGCTTCCAATAGTGCATGTTATAAGTCCAATCTATAATGGTGATAGATACACTACAACATAGCAATATTAGTATGCACTAACACCCGGTTTCCGTAAGGCCGATCAATGTTAAAATCAATTTAATCTCTTGTCAAGTCATCTGATTGGTTGACTGAATTATCAACAACCAATCAGATGACTTGGCTTTCGGAAACCGGGCGTAAGTCACATGAATGTGTTAAATTAACTTCTTTTATTAACAATTCCACTATTACTATTTTAAGATCAGTTAATTTTATAAAACTTTAACTTACTTTAAGAAATTAATTTCTAATAAATAAATAATAAGAAATTAATTATTGTAGGTTACTAACTACTGGAAGTGAGGCTTCTGCTTCGTAAAGATTTGCTGAGGGGGCTGCCTTTAAGCACATTCCGCCAAACGCTTTTTAATAAAAGCGTCATTATTACTGTAAAAGAAAAATAAAACAACTTATTTTTTAGGTTATGTTATTAAATAAAATGGTGTTAATAAATTAACATGTAAGTATCATTATGTAAATCATCGAAATTAATAATCTTAGGAAAGAAATAAATAAAACCCTTTGTATTATATATAGATTGAACTCACATTCTATTTATATAAGTCAATTTAACTCGCACTTTCTTAATCTGATATTCAGTAATAAAATTATCTTCTATTAATAATAATTTCATACGTTTATTACGCCAATTGTTTAAAGTAGTATATAGCGAATCACATTAAACATTATACAAGATTATGGAACTGTTTATTTATAAATAAAAACAGGATAAAACTGAACAAATTTGAAAAATTCGCGTGAATGACAGCTGATTCCGACAGATGTTGTGACTTTACTCATGACAAATGACTGAAAAATAAACAAATGAAAACAAAATCATTTTGTAAAGGATGTCAATTATAAATATTATAGTTACTTTTGGTTTTAATGTATTACTTTTTGCTATTGATAAAATTATGTATTTTATTAATTTTAATTTAAATTATACTAAAAATATTGGATATACTCAATGACGTCGAATTTCGTTCATAAACATTTTATGGTTTCTTGTGCGTAACGGAACAAATACAGATTCGTTTAAAAAGTATAACGTTTGCATTAACATTAAATTCTTTAACATAAAAAATATTAGAAATTGATATATATGGGAGGTATACACTTATGTTTAGTCATATACGTTATTCGACTTGTTTAATGTGGTAAAATACCAAAACTAAATAACAAGCCATTTTATTATATTTCTAACAAAAGAACTTTAGAACGAAAATCGATTGTAGTGCTTTGACAAATAGACAGTGACATTGACGTTTTACTATAATATTGTATTCGTTTTCGTTCCAGCATTTTCTTCAAAACTTGAACTAAATATATAATTAATAATGTCCACCCCAGTGAAAAAACCAGACTCTCAATCAAAAATGTTTAACGAAAAAATTGTTAGTACTCGTTCTGACCGAGTGATACGTAAAAAGGTTATAAAACTCGGAGACTACACCTTGGTTCCTTACGAAGACTCTCGTTGCAAGATTACTTTAAGTGATGTCCAGTGTTCTAACGCTGCAGGACCTTGTGAGATTGACCCAGTCAGTCGTATATTTAGTCAATCGTTTGATGGGAATGTTTTGATTGGCGACTCTGACTCCTACATAGACAAGGATTTTGAGTTGATCTTACAGCAAATGTGCTGTGGAGAGGTCTGTGAGGCCAGTATAGCTTACAAGAATGGAGATGGGACGGTGATGAAGGAGATAACGTGCAAGATAGAGCTGAAGGAAGTCACTGAGGAGCAGTTGATCAGTGATTGGAGCTGGGAGAGGTTGTATGAAGCTGCTGTACATCACAAGGTACCCAAAAAATATATAATACATTAGGTTAGTGGGTGTAGTTTGGGTCGGAGTCTATGCTAGTTTATTTTCAACTAAATCTATTTAGTTTTACTATGTAAATATATGAATAAGTGAAAACTAAAGAGCACCTAGAATTTTCAAAAAAGGGGGTAAAGAGAATAGTGATTATATTATGTTCTAGTCACCTGAATTTCAAGAACTTGTATGGAACAATAATATGAAGACGTTACCTCCTTTTATAATTCAATTTCACACAATTTCTTGATTAAGATTATTCCTTGAGTATCCTCTCCAATGTTTCTCCCAATTCTGTCTTTTTTGTCTATGCTGCTCACTTTTGTAATATCTGTTCACAATAAAACAATTAAAAATTCCTCAACAGCATCTGCACAGTCTAATTACGATTAGTCGATTTCAACATTCCTTTTACAATAAAACAATATGAGTAAAGAATTTAGTTTGTTGTCCCAAAGATCATCACGTTATGTTCTCCTAGATAGTTCCATATATTTAATTGGTTAAAAGGGAATCTTGGAATAAACAGTAACCTTGTTTTAGTGAGAACAAAAAAACTTTATGAAGCAGTACCTCTGCCAATTTTGTTCCCATTCAATTTTCATTTAGCAGCTAATCAATAAGAAAATATTGTATGTATTATTTTACCCCTGTTCTATGTATAATACTCTGCTAGTTAAATTATGATATACATAATACATACATATTGTATGATTTTCTATTACATACAAATAATAATACACTCAATTTTTAAATCCTTCCTCTTCAGGAGAGGGGAGTAGATCTGATCAAGCAAGGCCGGACTGCGGATGCCTTCCGGAGATTCAACAAAGCTCTGAAGATGTTGATTGCTATTGAGCCAGTGGACCCCAAGGTGGTCAGTGAGCAGGTTGTCAAAGACATGATAGAACTAAAGGTAGGCATTCTTTGTAAATAATAGTGCAGTTTTTTCAGTTTTAAAACCTAACTTCTTAAATTTTTTTGTAACAAAATAACTACCAGTTAAATACCAATCATTATAAGCACCATAAGCATTGTCATATCACCACATATTGTCGTACTCTCCAGGTGAAACTGTACAACAACTTAGCACACTGCCAGCTTCAGTATGACGAGTACGAAGCTGCCATAGAACTATGTGAGAAAGCCCTCAAGTTCGACCCGGTCAATGTGAAGGCACTGTACAGGAAGTGCACGGCTCACTCTGGCCTCCACATGTACGAGGAAGCTTGGAAGGACATACAGGAAGCCCTACGGATAGAGCCCAATGATAAAGCTGCTCAGTTGAAAGCAAACTCCTTGATACCCAAAATTGAGAAGATAAATAAAGATTACACAGCAGTTATCAAGAAGATGTTTGGCTAGACGGTACCATAGTTGTTACTTGTTGTTAGTGGCCCTTGTGTGACTGCGGAGGACATCTTGAGGACCGGACTGTACCAGGTGGCCTGTTGTTGTAGACGATGATAGCTCCACTCTGCGTGCGTTTGCCGTACTAACGTTAGTCCACCAACTAGCTCCAATAAGTCTAATTTTTCCAATAGATTCGACGTTATTTTACAGCTGAGTTAGGTAGTTTTTGGGGAACAGGGTTGTTTCCTGATTCTGGAACAATAAAATTCCAGAATAGGTGATCATGCCTGGCGTACAACTACAACGTCTCTATTGTTTGAGTTCGGTGGCAAACTTTGCTTGCGCGATGTATTTTCTTCGGCAATGCGAGAACATAATCTGTTACTGTGTGCTGGGATTACGTGCTAAGTAATCAAAATTTTCTTATTATTTTAAATAAGCTTCTTTGGTTTTTGAATAACTCGCTGGCACCTCTAATTAGACAATAATTTATTTACTTAAATTACTTACATAGTCAGATCTCTAATAAATTATCATTTTTTGCGCTTGCAACTATAGCACTAATATTTTCTCATTTCTCAAAAGTTTATACCTATCTTACCACTTATAGATTTATTGAAAAAATAGCTCAACTCACGTGAATAAACTGTAAAGCTCTACTAGTCTCAAGTCACAAAGCGGCTCTTATACATGATTATTCACGTGAATAAGTCGTTACTGTGAATAAAAGCATCATGTCTCAGAATACTTAGTTTAATAAAAATTAATCCTACCGAAGTAACTGAGTGAAAGCCAAAAACCGTCAGAGCGTCACTGGGGAGGGAAAAAAAGTACTACCCGTGCGGCCGTGCCGATAAAGAATGGGATGAGAAATGGCGGCTCATTGAGATGGGAGCGTCAGCATAAAAATGCAATAACAATAAATTTAACTAATAACTGAATAACGTTAAAAAATATCGTTACCGTTGAAAGTGTGTCATTATTTCATAAATTAAAATAAACCTTATGTAAGTTAAATTTGTGATCATTTTTGAGACTACTACGTACACAAATTGTCAACATAACCATTACCTGAATCGCGGAGGGTAAGGTTGGATATAAACTATTTTCGCTTCATAACTTTAAATAATCTCAAATATCCATACTAATATTATAAATGTGTAAGTAACTCTGTCTCTCTGTCTGTTATGCTTTGTTTTTTTGTCAGTCGGTACCAACGAGTGTGAGTAAAGACGGGTATAATGTGCGAGTGAGAAGTGAATAGATGCGCCGCCATTTCTAATCCCATTCCATATTGGCACGGGTTATAGCTGAAATAAAAAAAATGATCAGCTATAGTTAAAACTGACAAGAGTCTGAAAGGGAGGGAAGAATTGTATAGCACGCAACATTCTAGTGAGTCATATCAAAGATAGTGAATTTATTGAATTTGGACCAGATTAATAAATAGACTTGGAGCGAAATAATTTTATACCAGACTACAGCAGCTTTAATTGATTGTACCTATTTGAAGAAGCAGTGCCGAATTAAGCATGCCCTGGGCCTGCAGTAAATTCAATCTTATATGGATCCCCTATTTTTATTTTTTTATTTATTTATTTAATGCACAAAACACATTACAATCAAATAATATTAACTTAAAATCTAGATAGTAACAGTAAAAAAGCTCAAAAGGGACAAAAAGAAACAAGAAGTACAAACTAGAAAACAAAGTGTTGTGTGTCAACACTGGTGTCTCTCAACAAAAATATGGGTTGATTAAGATCCTTCAGGCACAGTTTCCCGGGCCTGAAGAATCTATTGAGAGAGAGAGATATTTGTATTGTCCACTGCAATCGTTTTTTTAATCTACAGAATGGAATCTTCAATCAGTTTTAGCTTGCACTTCTTGATGTCACAGCATTATTACGTCAATAAGCGCTTTTCAAAATATTTTAACTTTAATCGTGGTTATTCGAGACACAACATGAAGGCAAACGCCGGCGTTCGCTTGAAGTTTCATTAATTAATGTTGTAGGGGTCGCGACCGAAGTGGTATAGACTGGCTATGCTGATAAATTAAATACTTAAATAACTTCAAGCATTTATTGCTAACAACGGTAAAGTTACGCTAAATGATGTATGCTAATGAGTACGAACGCACCCGGTTTGCTGTCCGAATATGTACTGAGGCCGCGCTGCACTTGGTGTGTCGTGGTTGGATTGCTAGATCAGCAAAACGTGTTCGATCGTGGAAAATGTATCGAACAAATGTATTAATGGATTGCTTAGAATTTATTTATTGCTATATTTTCTCAATGGCTAGTTAATTCGGCACTGTAGGGAGTTTTAATATGAAGCTGACTACTAGCGACTAGTGTATCAAGTGTGTAGTGTACGGTGGAACAGGGAAGTTAGGTAAGTGTGTAGCACAAATAATATAACTATCGATGTATATATTGAGTCGGAAGGTTTTGTAAGGCGACTGTGGCGGCGAAGTTTGGCCAAATATATCTAATGACATAATGACTCTGGTTTTGTTTGACACGAGTTTTGCTGACAATTATTTTTTAAGATTATATATTCTATACTTCTTATATAATTTTATTTGTTAATTTTACTTCATGCACAAAACATTTTACATAGACTTAATGCATTGAGCGTTTTCTACCAGTCAACCTTTGGGTGATGCAAAGATAGTCCAGTGGTAGATGCAAGATTTTATAAAATATATAAGAATATACCTAATTTTGCTTGTGCAAATACTTATAATACGAACAGTATTGCTGTAGCTTGCAATGTTCACTGACAAACAGACTGACAGACTACTGTTCTATTTCGACGTTTCAAAAATACCTTTTTATGGTTTATTTGTTATAAATGAATTTGATTTGATTGGTACTAGTTTCTTGATCGAGGAAACTGTTGAGAGATTCAGTTTCGGGGTTCCTGACTGAGTGAGTTACCAACCAGCGGGAAATGGCTGCTACATTTAGCTTAAGCTACTAAGAAGCCTCTTTCGGCTAAGAAAAGCAAAAGTATACTGCTCGTTCTTCTCAATTTGAATCTACACTTTGAAACGAGCACCTAGCTTTACTGGCGAACAGACTGATAGACTAACACCCAGTTTCCGAAGGGCCGATCAGTGTTAAAATCAATTTAAACTCTTGTCAAGTCATCTGATTGGTTGACTGAATTATCAACAACCAATCAGATGACTTGACAAGAGATTTATCAGGAGATTAGTTAATTTTAGCTTTGACAAGCCTTTCAGAAACCGGGTGTTAATCTATTTTGAAGTTTCAAAAGTACCTATTTATGGTTTAGTTGGAATAAAAGGGTAAGAATAGGGGATATCTATAGTGTTGAACAGAATCAGTGTCATATAAATTTAGAATAGTTGTATGTACTAGACTAATATTTCCTGTCTTGGCCTTAGGAAGCGTTCCTGAATTCTTCTAGCAAGTTCCAGACAAGATGCATTTTTTATTCTACTGTGATTCTCTAACTACTTGTGTCTATTTTTGAGATAATCAAATTTAATTGTAAGACTTCAAAATCTATATGTAATTATGTACTTAAGTGTCTGTTGTAAATAGAACAGTGAAATATATTCTGTATATGTAGCAATTATTTGTGTTGTTAATTTATTTTAAACTTATCATTCAACATTGGAGACACTTCGCAGTTTGGAGGCAGGTACATAGCTACTTGTATCTATATATAAGTATTGCATGTAAAGTGGTGAAAGTGAATTTTAAGTGTGGGAGAGCCATGCTTCGGCGCGAATAGGTAGGCTCGACTGCGGTGATACCACGGCCTCACAGGAAACCGTCGTAAAACAACCACAGCGTTATGTGTTTCGTCGTGTCAGTGAGGTTACCGGAGGCCCAATCCCTCTCCCTCCCCATGCCTTCCCAATACAAAAATATCCGAAACCCTTATCCCCAAAAGGCCGGCAACGCACTCGTAACTACTCTGGTGTTGCGGTTGTCCATTGGCGGCGCTGATGACTTACCATCAGGTAATCCGTCTGCTTGTTTGTTGACTTATCTCATAAAAAATCCAGTATCGAGAACACAAACAAGGATTCAAATTGGTGCAGCCATTACTGTGACATTTACGTGTATTATACCTACATAGATTTCAGTATTTTTTGGTAAATTAAAAGGGATTTTCCTCTAGAGAGACATCGTCACCCATGGATAAATAAATAAATAATACCCTAAAAATAATTTGTAAGTATTACCTGTTAATTATAATGATAAAATTAACAAACTGTCCTAATCGATTTTCCTCATAGGTATTTTCTTTCAGTTTAGAATATAAGGTTATTTTTGTGAATGGTGTATAGTTTTATGACGTCACTACCATAGTGACGTCATAAAACTTATATTTATATTATAACCACTACTGCTGGAAGGTAGCTAGTAGCTAGTTAGGTACCTATTACTTAATTGCATTCGTAGTAAAAATAGCGACTACCGCGACCGTAGGTAAGCTATTTGTGTATTGAAAGAACCTTGTGTGGCTGAGACGATTTACATTATTGTAGAGCCAAAATGTGACGCACGGGTATGAAATTAATAATCACCGCGTCTCAAATTTTCCACAGGGGTTTGCACTTTTACAGCTAATGAAGTAGGTCGGCAAATGATCAGTTTATTTACCTGATAGAAAGCAATTGGGCAGCGTCGCACAACAAAGAATGAAACACACCCTTTTGGAGATGAAGGTCATATGTGTGAGGATTGGGGAGGGAGGGATTTGCCGTCGGTAACGTCACTTACACGGTGAAACACAGCGCTGTCAAGGTAATAATATCTATATGATATTTTTACTGTGGCGCTGTGGTTGTTTTATGCCGGTTTTCTGTGAGGCTGTGGTATCAGTCGAGGCGACCCATTCGTGCCGAAGCTTGGCTCTTCCACACTTAATTGAAATACTTTTGAATTAAATAATATAATCCTAAGTATTAGGTTTATCAGAACCCCATATGTTCTCGTAGGTAAGTATTAAAACATTGTTTGCATGGAGGTCAACAGTGGCCAACGATAGCGGAGGACTTGTCTTCAATAGTTTTCTGTAGACAGTCAAAGTATTAGTACCTACCTACATACCTATATCACAGTAAAAAGTAGATATTATTACCTTGCCAGATCCAGACTCGGTGATCACTTTCCCCTTATCCTGGGAACCACATCTCAACTCCATGTGCGCTAACAACATAAAACATTGTAATATAAGGTATGTGACCCATTTCCGTTGTTTACTTATGCAGTAAGTTGATAAGAAATGTTGGTAGGTAGTTAATATTTATAATGAAACAATAATATTATGAGTATGTGACTGCGTGACGGCCGCGGGGCCGGTGGCGCGGAACGTAAGCCGCTTCCCTTGTGCGTCCAGTTGCTGCGGCCTTTGCTATAAACATACTAGGTAGGTGTTTACATTGAAACTAATTAAAATACCAACTAACTTTCCGACCACAGTTGGCTCAGTTTGCTCTTTAGGTATTGGTAGGTTTCGTGGTGGCCCAGAGGTTAGGGCCCCTGCTTCTCATGCAAGAGGGTACGGGTTCGAAACCTGATAACTACCTCTGTGACTATTTCCGAGTTAGTTGAGAGACCACTCACCAACGGTAAAGGAAATATCGTGAGGAAATCTGGACTTATAATTTCTATAAGTTTGAAATCGCCAATCCGCCTTGAGAAAGCGTGGTGACTATAGCCTTCTCCGTATGAGGAGATTCCTTTGCTCACCAGTGGGCACTTATAGGATGATGATGATGACGTGTAGGCTGTTGATGATGATGAGATGTGGTAGAATTTGAAAACTTGCTCGAATCTCTTTTTATTATGAACGTATACATACCTAAGCAGGTATTTTTTTTATGTGGTAGGTTGGCAAACGAGCAAACGGATTACCTGATGGTAAGCAATCAGCGTTGCCTATGGACACCCGCAACGACGGAGGAGGAGTTACGAGTGCGTTGCCGACCTTTTGGGGATTAGGGATTCGGAGATTTTGGGAAAGGGAATGGGGTAGGGGCATAGGGGAAGAATTGGGCCTCCGGTAATCTCGCCCACACGGCGTAACACAACTGCCGTGCGAAGGCCGTGATATCACTCCGGTCGAGCCGACCCATTCGTGCCGAAGCTTGGCTCTCCCACAATTATGGAGAATAACTATTTGTTAAGTATATGTATGAGAATTATACCCTCTAAGAATTAAGTAGTTGTTTATATAGGTATGACTCTTATTGAATTTTAAAAGGAAATCAGTTAGCATGAAGCTTTGTTAATAACAATACATTGTATCTGTGTATTGATATCAGCTGAGCATTCTAATCAGACGTTTAACTAAGTATCTAAGTATGTTAGGTCGGTTATTCCTACTGTTCATCATGCTATTTATAATCTTTATCTTGAAAGTAAACAGTTCCTTTATTCATCCTATTTATAGCTACTTAGTTACTCAGGTAGACAAGTACTAACTACGTATTAAAATTATTGACTCAATAAGGGTCAGTTAATCAATAAGTTATATAAATAGGTAGGTATAGGTATCTATCATCGATCACTAATTTGATGATGAAATACCTAAATGATTGAAATAGATACCTACTGATGATCATGTGTTCATTCATTGATTATATTTAAAAATAAGTTTGTAAGCTAATTAACGTAACTATGACGTCATACGTTGCGATTTCATACAAAAATCACAGAAAAGTATCGTTTTTGTCAATAAAATAAAAGTTATTGAATTCGACTAGTTACAATTTACCGACTAGTCGTAGGTGGACATCCTATCTACTTATGTAGTCGCATTAACTACTTAATAAAAATATTTTTAAGGACATATCTACCTACACGAGAAGAAATCCATCCCCCACGAGTTGAAAATTTGTAAACACAAAGCGTCAAAACATCGTCCGAAAATAAGCCACGCCCTTGACACAGCAGCCGATCAAAATCTCGTCTGCTCGTATGACATCACACAACGAATGGAGGCGAGCTGACATCATACTCCCGACGTATTAAATATAAAGTACCAGTAAACCCATTCCACACTCTCCTTTACAATCATAATGCTATGCTATAATCGACTTTATGTTGCAAATATTATGTGTCATAATACTGGTGCTGTATTTTTTAATCCTTCTGTAGTTATACGCGATGACCTCACCTACGCGCCAGATCGTCAGTCGTTCGCGAACCACGGATTGAAACGTACCCAGTACCATAGTTTTATTTACCGCGTAGTTTCTTTCAACACTTCCGTGAATAATAATAATTGTAGTGAGTATTAAACTATATTTAATACATTATTGTGTTAGTACATATATCTGCAGTGTTGTTGTTGTTTGAGTGTTAATAAAATGTGTTTAAAATATGAGTGCATTATATCATATGTTCGCAGTTCACCTGTAGGTAACTTTATGTAAACATTAACCGAGTTGATTGGAGCGTCCGATCTAATCATTCTACAGGTTTTATTTTACTCACACTACCTTATTTGGTAGGATAGATTGAGCTGTGTAGCATTATGTTATGACTAAGTAAAATGTAATAAAAAGTACTATCGTCAAAAGTTTCGTTGTTTTCTGAATTCGTCCTAATTAAGCCTTATTTACGGACCAACTTCTGACAGCGGCCTCGCTTACGTTCCTAGGACAAAGAGTAGCTTATGTTTTGTTCCAGACTACTATTAATTTTTGTGTTCTTGCGTGAGATAGGTTGCAAGTAGCTACAAACATGTGTACAGTACTACAAACCAATAATATCACTTGTAGGTCACTACGTTGGGGGTTCAGGATACTTGGCATTCCTTTCTTTATCTATACTAATACTAATATTATAAAGTGGTAAAATTTGTGAGTTTGTATGTTTGTAAGTTTGTATCTAGGGGGTAATCTTTGGAACCGCTGTTCGGATTGCCAAAATTCTTTCACTGCTATATAGCTACAATGTTCCTGCGTGCTATAGGCTATAAAACAGTAGCTAGTTTTTCAAATAAAACAAAACAAAAAATGATTTCTTCGGTTAGTTCACACCTTGACTGTTATCTTCAATTTACACCATTGTGTATCACTGAATGAAGTCTTAATTTAAAAAACTCTTTAAATTATTTTTGTAAGTGATCCTAGTACCCTACCAACCTGAAAAAAATGTTAAGGCTCAGTTAGAGTCGACAAACGATATTACATTACACAGTTAAGTATACATTTGTTTGACCTTGGGATTTGAGAGACTGAAAACATTAGATTACCGTCATTACCTACCTACCTTTTTTATACAACGTACCTATCTGTCAGGAGAAATTTGAGGCAGGAAGTGTAATTGTTACCTAATTCAAAAATAAGATATTACACCGTTTTAATAGGTACAATGATTTATATTAAAACAATATAATAATATCTAATATTTAAAAATAACTGTTATTGTAAGACGTCATGTAACATCGTATTATAGTTTTTGACACGCATTAAAAGTATTGAATTTGATTAGTTTGGAAACTACTGGCTGGATGCGTCGCAGCTGATTAAAATAGCCGTTCAATAAATCAGCTAGCCCTTTGATCAATCGCAGTACAATTTTAGTAGTTGTTAATTTGTGATTCGATTTCTGCGCGGTTCACAGTTCTAACTTAACGTAACCTACCATTTTGTTAGCAACTTTGTTTTCATGATAATGCCTTCATCCTTCACTTACCTACCCACAGTCTGTATGACACGTTTAGCTATTCAATCAAACGACTAGTCCTTCAGGCCGTTGATTGGATGGTTAATTCAACTATTTGGCTGCCAAATATGAATCATCAGAGTATCAAATTGATTACTATAATTTCTATTTGATACTTACTAGGTAAAATGCTAGTAAACGCGTCTAATTATGTAGATACCTTGAAATGTTAACAATTTTTCTTCAAAAACAAAAACGTAATAAGTAGACGTACCGGCATATCAAACACTAGCTGTGTGATGTTTTATAGCCTATAGCCTTCCTCCATAAATGGACTAAGAAACAAAAAAAGAATTGTTCAATTTAAACCAGTAGTTCCGTAAATTAGCGTGTTCAAACAAACAAACTCTTCAGCTTTATAATATTCGGAGAGATATGCTGGGTTCTGTACCTAAATGTCTACCCCGTATATATATATATAATATCTATAAACAATTTGAAATTGTAAGCCTATTGTCGAATACAGTCATTTGTATGTAACTCCATTGAATGCTCGCTCTTGGCAACTTCTTCACATTTCATTGATTGATTAAGTAGGTACCGACCAATATATTCTGTCCAGTCAACATTATGTCAGTTTCGACCTTAACACGTAGCAGTTTTGATTGAATTTCGCTAATCAAACTTTTATTAATGATACCTTTGAAGCGTCATAATAAATTCCACGCGTTTACACTAGCCAGTATTTAATTTGCCAATGTTCGAACACACGTGATTTTGTCCACCATTTTTGCCGTATCTAAGAAAGAATGGTGACGTAATTCTCTCATGCATTTTAATACAAACGTAATAAAACCATAATGTGGCTTAAATTAAGGTCGGATTTTAATTGTTCATTATTGAGGTATTTCCAACTAGTGAAATTCAATACTTTTACCTTTTCTATGAATTTTGTATGAAATCGCAACCTGTGATGTCATAGGTAAACTTTTGACGTCAAAAAGTTTAATTTATTTGAATAAATAGCTGGAAAAGGTCTTAAATTAAGTTATTATATCGTCAAATCAATGTGTGAAAGTATAAGAATTAATTGTATTAAAAAGTTATTAACGATAAATACAATACATTTATACATCTACGGTAAAAATATTACACTTGACAGGTAGGTACCTAGTGTAATTCTCCCCTAATTTAGGTAGGTATACATATATCCAAGTACATGTTGAATTAATTCCTCTATTGTATTCAAATATATAAAAGACCACTCATCAACAAACATACAAATACCTAATTAAGAAGGTAAATAGGTCTCTAGGTATTTTCGTTACTGACAATAAATAACAGCAAATTTTGATGACATAAGAGAATTTTGATCAGCCACTAAGCAGCGCACGTTTTTTGGTATATTTGATGTATCCTTTTTGTATACGGCTACATCATAAAAAAATACAATCTAGGTTTAATGCTAGTGAGCCATTCAATGTTGACATAATTTGCTAGGAGAGTAAACAATTAAATGAATGACTGGAATAAATAAATCTAATCATGGCACGAAATGCACCTGATTTCTTATGTGATTATTTAAATCGCTATTTGTGTTATCAAGAGTAACAACGCGAGAAACGGTTATTGAATCTACTGCTAGGTAGTAGATCTTGTGATAACTATTCGCTACCTAAATATGAATAAGTGCAATAGGTAAGTTTTAAAAACCTCGTCTTCAATGTTCTATTTGAACTTTTTATTGTATTATATTATTGCCACATGAATTAAGTGTGGGAGAGCCATGCTTTGCACGAATGGGTCGGCTCGACTGGAGTGATACCACGGCCTCACAGAAAACCGGCGTGAAACAACCACAGCGTTGTGTTTCGCCGTGTGAGTGAGGTTACCGGAGGCCCAATCCTTCCCCTCTCTCAATCCCTCCTCAATCCCTAAATCTCCAAATCTCTAAAAGGTCGGCAACGCACTCGTAACTTCTCCGTTGCGGGTGTCCATAGACGGCGCTGATTGCTTACCATCAGGTAATCCGTCTGCTATTACATAAAAAAATAATAATGAATTAACCTTAGCTGGTTGTAGAAGGTTTTTTCTGAGGGGAGGGAAATCATCAAATAATATCTATCGTCAACCTTTAAATAAAAACGACGAACAACTACCGTATTGTACTTATTTATAGTTGATAAATATAAAACTTGACACAATTTGCGAGCAAAAACAGAAAGAGTGATAAATGATATAGGGTGTAGGCATAGTACGTCGTGCGATGAATCATAATTTTTATGACTCGATAAGAATTAATATTTTTCTGAATGTTATTTATCGAGTTCGTATGTGCTCTAATGGCATCTTAACTTGTAGTTGCAGATACGCAGTATTAATAAATAGTACCTAAATACATAGTAGTTCCAGAAAATTCCTTCCAAGACAGTGATTCCTTTCCCCTTGGGTCAGGCGAGAAGGAGTGTTAGACTCTTGCTGACCATCAGCCATAGTTGACACTATTCATCTGGTGGTCTTAACCTCTGACCTACAGAAATAAACAGAGGATAATAAAGACAAAAGCTGGAGTCCCTAATGCGCTGCGTTATACTGTTGGAATTCTAGATAATTCACACATTGTAAATGCTTTGCTGAAGAACCGATGACCTTTGGGGTTACGATGGGAGAGGCATAAGTTCAGCAGTGGACGGAAATTGGCTGATGAAGATCATGATGAAATTCTTTGTGTAAATTAGTATCTTTGTGTGAACTGAGTTTGATGTGTTGGAGATATTCACATGTGAAAACAACCCAAACATGATACAACGTATAAGAGGCAAGGTATATAAGTAGGTAATTCTGGATATGTCACCTAGCGGCTTTGGATTCAGTGGAAAGGCGTGCAAAGAGGCTGATTGGTGATCCAGATTTGTTTGGGTCCAATCTTCAAATACTCGAGCACATGCGCAGAGTAGCCAGCCTTGCGGTTTTCTACAGGATGCATTTTGGAGAGTGTGCGCAGGAATTGCAGGATTTGATTCCGCCATCCCAATTTCACCTTCGGACATCCCGACGTACGGCAAATATCTACCTTTACGTTGTTGAGACACCTGCGGCCCGGACTAAGCGTTTTGACACGTCATTTATGCCGCGTACTAGGTTAGGGATTAGAACAGTTTGCCGGCTGCAGTCTTTCCGTCCGAATACAATTTAGGTGTCTTCAAGGCTAGAGTGAATAGGCTCTTAATAAACTAGTGCGCCTTACCATCAACGATTGCATCACTGCTTACCACCAGGTGGGATCGCAGTCAAGCACTAGTTTATTGCAAGGAAAAAAAAGGAAATAGTAAATGATTGAACTTGCAGTCGCGATCGATCGCGTTAGCTATAACTGCGTGTGAAGTGACTCGAGCAAGGTTTACATCGACCGCTCGTGTGAACCGTGTCAGACGCCCATGAAACAAAGATTACACTATATACCTATACGGACTGTCAGCATCAAAAGTCGGTGAACACATTCAGATTTTGATTTAAAACCACTGTACACTATCATTATCACCCATAAATCACTCAACAAGATAGGGCCAGTATTAAGAGCCAATAGACCACCACAGACGGGCTCCTATAGGGCTGATGTTCAGCCGGGGTTGCGGGGTAAGAGCAATGAGGCACCGCGACCTCGGCCCAGAGCAGGAGAAGGAAGAGGGGGTCTTTAGTCAGTAAGGGTCTGACACTCCCTCCCGTCCGGCCCTGGGCGGGAGAAGCCATTTGATGATTTTCCTCTCACAAAAAAGGGCCAAAATTAACATACTAGTCAAATGTTACTGCACTCAATTTTATATTAGTTTAATAATTTAATTGTGGTCATCAACTTTTGATGCTGACCGTACCTACCTATGTGCATCTATCACCTTTACTTTAGTTAGGCACCCTCTTTGAAAGGTAAAAATAAATGTCTTCTAAGTTCCTGTTCGTATATCGAGAAGGAGTGTCAAATCACCCCGATTCTTATTCTGCTAAATCATACGCTCCACATCCACATCCCCGGTACCTATACCTAGGTAGGTTTAGTAATTTAGCTATCTTTTTATCTATCCACTAATTATCTTCTACAATAACATAAGAATGACAGAAATACATTAGGCATAATCATTCCATTTTCGGTAAAAACTATGTGTTTGAAATATGGCAATGCCATGATATGAGGCACTTTTGAAACGTTAACAAGAATGAAATGTTTTAAAATTTCAGTCTATTGGCCAGTCTTCTAGTGAAGCTATTGCTTGTTCAAAGTGTAGATTTCTATGGAGAACGAGCAGGAAAACTCCATGATCCATGCTTACTCAAAGCCAAGTGCAGAGCAAGAGAAACTGTTGTGACAACAATGTCAGAAGGAAGCGAAGTGCGTGAGGGAAGATTTCCTCTTCACGTTCCAGCCACTGAAGGAGACATTCCGGATTTCCGGGTGTGGAACGAGTTCCCCGCACGCGTTTAAAACCCAACAGGCTACCATAGATGGGGCCAAATAAAGCTGATGTTCAGCCGGGATGCGGCACCGGATTAGGGTAACAGAAGGAACGGGGTGGCTTTTAGCCAGTAAGAGTCTGACGCTATCTCTCGCCCACCCAGGACGAGGAAGTCATTTGATGATCTTAAAAAACAGACATAAGGAAATTTATTAAGTATATGAAAAAAACATAGGTTTACTCTTGATAACGAATATCGTTAAGAGTTCCAATCAATGATCAACTGTATTATAGTTACGTTTGCGTTGCTGGTCTTTTGGGTTTTGTGTATTTAAGGATGGGGAAAAGATAGACTAAGGGGGGGAAGGGAAAAGATAGACTAAGGGGGGGAAGGGAAAAGATAGACTAAGGGAGGGAAGGGAAAAGATAGACTAGGGGAAGGATAGGGCTTCCAGTAACCTCATTCACAATTCAAAACACAACGCTGTACCTAGTTGTTTTACGCCTGTTTTCCGAAACATTCGCGCTGAAGCATGACTCCTACAATTTTATTGCTATTGGTATTAACTAAGATATCTTTCAATGTTACTGAATGAGTCGATATTGAGTTCATAACACGTAAACTGTATACTATTACTTACATATTTACATTCTGGATTAAAAAGATAGGGCCCGAAGTGCTGGAACTAATAACAGCAATATAATTATACGTCGCATCGCATCCACACGTAATAAGCAATACACCAGTATTGTGTCTGTAATTAGTTGCCGAGTCGGGGTGACTGATTGCAATTACTTTTATTTATGTATGTATAGTACCTAACGGTATTCACGGTATAGTAACATGCACGAGTGACAAACTTAACCTTCCAAACTTCCACGTATGTGAGTAAACCATTAATGAAATTGATTCTGTACTAAGCTTCAAATGTAAGTATAATAAGAAAAGATTACAGTATTTCCTAAACGGGGTTTGGGCCGAAGTAGGAGAAAGCATGGGATGGTTTATAGACAGTAAGAGTCGGAAAAGAAACTCAAACTCATGGAGGCCTACATACAGCAGTAGGCCACACGTAGCAGTAAAATAAGGCTAAAGATGAAGATTAGATTTAAAAAAAACTTGTCAATTTCTCCCTCTGACCCCAGCCAGTGAGCGAAGTCAAAGTTGCGAGTTTTTTTTTAATCTAATCTTCATCTTTAGCCTTATTTTACTGCTACGCGTGGCCTACTGCTGTATGTAGGCCTCCATGAGTTTCAGTTTTTTGGTCAGCTCTTCGTTTGATTTTTCGCTCCACAGTAACACGGCTCTGCGTCCGGAACCTAGAAACTTTATTATTGTTATCTTCAGGAAATATGGCAAGTCTGAGATCTGGCAGCGGGGTACAGGTAGTTACTCCTAGAGAAGACCACACATTTTTGTTGGATGAAGAAGCCCTACAAAACCTGCTGCTGCGAGCTGATGTGAAGGACCGGCCGGTGGTGCTGCTGTCCGTGGCCGGAGCATACAGGAAGGGGAAGTCATTCCTCCTTGACTTTTTCTTGCGATACTTGGATCACACGGTGAGCGGACTGATTGTTTATTTATAACTTAGACATATACATAACGTCCTAGTTAAGTCGTTGCCCTCAGAAGTTATCAAGTTCATATACCTACCTAATTATAAAATTTCCAACTAACGACAATGACTGGTATGTGATGTGAAGAGTTGTAGAAAGCATTTCACGATACTCCAGCCTCTGGGGTCGCGAGTTGGTCGCCATAGCTTGTAGATATCAAGGCCCCGCCATGAAGTAGGAGATGGCACAGAGTGTGGTGTTTAGCCAGTAAGAGTCAGACTCTCGCCTCATCCAAGCAGTAGAAGTCATTTGATGATGTCAAACGAATAATACCATCTCCTGCTATTATACGTAGCGACATTATTATATTCATAATTTGTCTTTTCAGTATAACAATGGTGACGGTGGTGGCGAGTGGTTGGGGACTGAGAACGAGTCGCTAAAGGGGTTCTCATGGCGCGGTGGCTCTGATCGACACACCACCGGCATCCACCTCTGGTCACAACCCTTCAAGGCTGTCACTGCCAGTGGGGAAAAGGTAAGCCGAACTAATAATCCCAGCGCACAGCGCGTAGCTTTCCGCACGCGCCTCAAAGAGCCAATAGACCACCACAGTCGGGCCCTTTTGGGTTAATGTTAAGCCGGGTTTGCGGGGTAAGCGCAATGAGGCACCGCGGCCTTGGCCTAAAGCTGAGCAGGAGAAGGAACGGAGTGTTTCCAGTCAGTAAGAGTCTGACACTTCCTCTCGCCTCGCCTCTTGCGGAAGAAGTTATTAGATTAGATTTCCCCTCACAAAAACTAACTTAAATCGTTTTCGAGAAAATTTAAGTTCTCTTATTAGATCGTATCATATATTAGTAAAAAAAATGTCTACGGTTCTGTCTACTGCCATGGACACAGACAAGGCGTGGTCAAAAAGGAGACTGACTTGAGCTGACCCTTCCTTGAACAAATGTGATAACATTTAATCATCTTCATTCCAGGTAGTGATCCTTCTGATGGACACACAAGGCACCTTCGACAGTAACTCCACGGTGAAGGACAATGCCACGGTATTTGCACTGTCCACCATGCTGTCCTCGGTCCTCATATACAACCTCTCGCAGAATATCGAAGAAGATGACTTGCAGCATTTACAGGTATTGTGGCCATAGCTGGTATATGGCGTACTGTTCTGTATCTTTAAGAGTAAAAAATTTGTTAATATGAAACTGATGCCGAATCATGTAGAATCTTTTAAAGACTTATAATACCTCTTTTTGTATTGTGACTATCGTGAGTTAGACTGTAGACATCTTAAATTAATATAATGACCGACGAATGACTTCCTGAACTTTTTCTTCGCGTAAATGGACTGAGAAAAACTCTAGTTGTAGCGAATTGACGCCGCTCATAATCAAGAGTCCCCTTGTGTCTTGAAATATTCTTTATTTTCTGTACATCTCCAGGAACTATTCAAACTAGTAGAGCTTTTCTCTTTTCTAATAAATTCACGTGATGAAGCTGTTATTTTAAATTTCTGTCTAATACTTCTTTGATTTTCTTTATATGCTGTTTGGTCTCTATCTAGAAATACTAATAATCCAGGCTCAAGATACTTTCTCTTTTATTATTAATGAAAGTATGCGTTCCTTCCAGTTATTCATGGAGTACGGGCGCGTAGCGCTTGATGAGACGGGAGGCAAACCGTTCCAGCGACTTCAGTTCCTCGTGAGGGACTGGTCCTTCGCCTACGACCATCCATACGGATCCGTCGGGGGAGAACAGCTGCTCAAGAAACGCCTTCTGGTATATATTTAGTCAACAATCTATATGTACACTAATATTACTACATAGTATAAAAGAAATTCGCTTTCTCTGTCCCTATATATCTATGTACACTTAAATCTTTAAAACTACGCAACGGATTTCGATGCAGTTTTTTTATAGATAGTGTGTATTAAATAGTATGGACATTTCACTCGTGCGAAGCCGGGGCGGGTCGCTGATGAGTACCTAATAAAGAGAAAGTCGATAATTTGTTTGTAGGTATTAAGTAAAGGGGTTTGAATATGATTAATCGCAACATTTCGCCACACATTGTAGCCCCGGGTATGATAATTATAAGTGCTTAAATTATCTACAAGACACGATAAAATACTTGTGCAAGCCAATGTTTTTTAATGGTATACTTAATCCGTTTCCAGGTCCGTGAAACCCAACACGAAGAGTTACAGAAGGTGCGTCAAGACATCGCGCGCTGCTTCGAGGAAGTCACCTGCTTCCTGCTGCCGCATCCAGGACTCAAAGTATCCACTGACCCTGAATTTACCGGCAAACTATCTGGTAAGAATAAAACCGATGATGCTGAATTTTTTTTTTGTGAGAGGGTAATCATCCCATGCTTATCACGCCCAGGATAGGGCGAAAGATAGTGTCAGACTCATACTCACTAAAAACCCCCTCGTTCCTTCTCCTGCTCTGGGCCAAGGCCGCGGTGCCTCATTGCTCCGCAACACCGACTGAACATCAGCCCTAAAGGGCCGCGTCCGTGGTGGTCTATTGGCTCATTGAGGCGCGCCTTAACAACACATAATTTTGGTCTTATTGCGTAACACAAAGTTTAATATAGCGAAAGAAAGTGTGAATGCCGCAAGCAGAACAACCTACGCTAATTTGCAAAATATGTGTTTTGTTTTCCATATTATAGTTACGCAATAACGACGAAAATCCGGTGAAGATGTTTGTAGATGTATCTACTTATACTTAATCGTAGCGTAGGTGGAGACTGAGAAAGTGAAGGCCTGCTATATATGGACAGTTTCTTAGGTAAAAAATAAATTAATTCGACGTTTAAATACAATAATATATAAAAGCAGAGTAGCAAATTCTACTTTTATAAGAATTTATCGATCTGTCGATACACTACATTTTTTTTAAAGAATTTGTAAGCAATTTTTTAAGAAATTACCTAAGTAAGCCATTTTTTATTTGTCACAAAATTACTATGACGTCATTATTTGGAGTTTCAGGCATATTTTATAGAAAAGTATGGTTTTTGATATTTTGGTAAAATAATTCGGCTATTGTCCGTGCACAAGTATTCTAAAAGTTATCTTTTAAAAACATTCTATATTTTTATTTATTTCAGACATTGACCCTGAATTCAAGTCGTGCTTGAAGAAGCTGGTGCCCATGTTACTGGCGCCCGAGAACTTGGTGCCGAAACAGATCGGAGGACAGAAGGTGAAGGCGCGAGACCTGCTCAACTACTTCAAGAGTTACGTCGACGTGTTCAATAGCGAGGAACTGCCAAACCCCATGACCATACTGCAGGTACAAACTAAGATATATATATATTCTATTTAGATATATATATATATTTCTTGACTCAATTCATAGGTCTTATATGGTCTTATATTTGGTATTTATTTTGAATCTAGAATCGTACCAAGGGTCCTAATAGAAAGTAAGACGATAAGGATCTGTAATACACCTACCTAGGCATACAGCAAAAAAATATATTTGAAACGAAATAAAAGTTCACCTTAACACAATAACGTACCTATACGTTAGCTTACCTATAAGCTTAATAGAACATAATTTTATTTTTCAATATTTTATTTTATATTGCTTTTTTACAGGCGACCGCAGAAGCAAACAACACGTCAGCATCATCGGAAGCGCGCAACGTGTATGAGACGTTGATGGAGGAGATCTGCGGCGGCACGAAGCCCTACATGCCGCAGAACGTGCTGGAGCAGGAGCACCACAAGTGTCTCAACAAGGCGCTGCACTCCTTCGACAGCAAGAAGAAGATGGGAGGCGAGGAGATGGCCACCAAGTTTAAACAATTACTCGTCAAGGTGAGGGGAGGTGGAGAAGGAGTGTTCCAAGTAGATTGCTCTCTTTTACAAACTTGAAGCATGAAGTCTTGATAAAGGAAATCAAAGATTTCCTTCGTAATTTCTACCCCTTCAAGACAGAAGATTTACGACCTACCAAATTAGATCCGCTTGAAGGTTTTTCTCCACTGTTGTAACAGTGTAACTTGACATTTTTTTTAATTACGTTGGCCCACTCTACGTTTTTCTTCTGTGTCGTGGGTGCGTTTACAAACATACAATTTCACATACACATCCCACCCAGACACAGAACAACCATTTGTGGATCACACAAAGAGTTTTGTGTTTTATTTCGTGCGCGGCAGCCAGTGGCCCAACCACCGCGCCAACCGTGCTGTCAAACACGTACATACAATACCGTCAACGTATCTTGGCGAGTCCGAAGTTAGCCGATTAGCTGCGCAGTACACAATGTTGTTCATAAAAGATCCATTGCGCAGACAAATGGCTAACTTCAGACTCGCCAAGAAACATCGACCGTACTGTACCTACAGACATATACCTGATCAACTTCTACATTTCCATTTTCAGGATCTGGAAGACCTATTCGACCAGTTGAAGGCGCACAACGAGAGTAAGAACGTGTACCGCATGTTCAGCACGCCCGCGGTGTTCGCTGCGCTGTTCCTCTGCGGGTACCTGCTCAGCGTGCTCGGGAACACCTTCGGAGTGCAGACCCTGGTCGCTGTGGGACAAGCTGTCACCCTGGGTGCCGCTGTCATGCTCGGAGTTTGGATCTATACAAGGTATTAATATTACTATTCGGTGTAGGTATGTAAAAGATTTTTAAAATTACAAAAATTGGGGTTTATCGTCTCGAAGGAAGTCTTAAGTATGCATGTTCGTTGGTCTAGGTTAATGTATTCAACAAGATGCCTTCAAGACGTGCATCGGATACGGCTGTTTTATTTAAACACTTTTTAAAAGGTTTTCTTTCACGTAGAGATGTGTTTCTGATAATATTTTTGTCTGCAGGATGACGGGCAACTTACGAGAGGTGGGGATGCAACTGGATGACATAGCAAACAAAATACGATCCTTTGTAAGTATATTTCGAATTTATTATACTTACAAACTAATACTTGTCATAGAGGACACCCACTTCTCGGCACTACCCGGAAGCAATAATCGTACAAGCATAAATTTATCGATAGTTGCGGTCGTAGATGCCAACTAAGGTGAGAATTAAAACTAACTATTTGTCTTTTGAGTTTTAGCCAACCACGGAATAGATTCTAAAGTCCTTTGCACTGCAGTCACACTGGCGAATTTTAGACTAATAAGGCATTTTGACCAGCAATGTTTTAATAATTAATATTGTCATCCCCAGGTGGTGACGCAAGCTGAACCAGCGCTCAAGGAGTCATAACAACGGGTCTTCAGCAAGAAGCAAGGGTGATTTAACATAAGTGTCATTTAAGACTGGTCAATTTAGTGAAGGCATCAAACAATAATAGTCTGTTGTGTCTTTGGAATAAAGAATAAAGTTCGTCAACTTGCCTCCTCACATCAAGAACATGGAGAGATCTCAAGAATGCGGTTTCCGTTGTCCTCTCGTACTGTTGGTGCCATAGCTAAATGTATGCCAGTGGCTAGTACTTAGGTTAACATAAGACAGCTTGTATTTTTAATTATTCTTTTTCTTCTGCAAATTATTGATAGCCTATAATTTACCTAATGATAAAGAGAAATAATATGTAGATTTTATGAAGTCAAGTTTATTGTTTCGTTCAATAATTATATTCGAAATGATTCATATCGGATTTTGTCGATGGTACGTATGCCATGAATTATTTCGGGTTTGGGGGTGAAACGTAAGTAGGAACCGCGACGCCGGCTTGGAGCAGGAGCAGAGTTTAGTCAGTAAGAAGCTGACACGCCCTCTTGGAAATATGCCATCAATTAATGCTAAAATACTTCACTAAGTTTTGAATAACCAATAACATTGAGTTTGCCTCGCTTGCATGCAGGCCTAGTGACTATTTAGTCACTGAAACCTGCGCAGATAACATATTTTTGTGAAATTTAGATACCAATCACTATCTCAAAATACTTTAAGAAGCAGGGAATGATTTTAGCATTCAAAACACACCGAAAAGTTATGTTCTGTGATCTGTTTTGTTTATGATCTATGAATAAATTACCGATGTCACTCTTTGTTGTACCTATCTATTTTTATATTGTGTATATAATAATATGTATAATTACTATGTTTTAAAGGTCATGTTGACGAGAGCAAGTGTGATTTTATATTTTATAAGGAAATAACAATTTTATACCTACTGTTCTGGACTTGTTTTATTTCTAAAGCTTTTTAGGTTGACCTTTCTTGTGTTATAATTACCCGGAGTTGTCTATTATCTATATCTATACTGAAGGGATTGTTTGAACGCACTAATCTCAGGAAATACTCGATAGAACTCAATTTTTTTTTGTGTTAAATAGATTATTTATTGATGAAGGCTTTAGGTTATAAAACATCACGCTACGAGCTGAGCAGTGGGTGAAACCGCGCGATAATAGCTAGTAAGGGTAATAAAAATAGGTAGCCATTTTTACTTCACCTACAAGTACACCAAGCTTTATTATTTTCAGGTTTCTACAGATCCTTAGCATATCAAGACAGAGTATATGAGAATCGTGTGTAATCAAGAACATCGGGAAATAAAACAAAGGCACATTTTTTAGTCAACTTTATTGTATTAAAACAAATATTTACATGAAACTCCCCTCGTGCGGTCGCAAACACAATATAACCATCACAACCGCCATCGTACGTAAGGTTATCAACAAAATAAACTATCAACTCTCAACGAACTATTTATTATCCCATGCCAAATAAACTGAAACAACATTCATTTTCAATGAATTTCGATTGGCACATGCTATATCATTTATTTATAAAAAATTTCACGATATGTTACTATTTTACTATAAAACGTTTATTTACATTTTGTTATATACTACTCGAGTGTGTGTAAGTTAGCAACGTGTGGGGTTTACTGTATGTGATCGGGGTGCGCGGCCTGCGAGATTCGACTGAAGTAAACGAAGTAAATATAGAGAGACGGGCTGGCAGTAGGCAGGGTTCTATGCAGGGTTGCTAACTTACAGTCGACACTAGCTATACAGCGGGCGGCGCACTGTTCCGTGTCACTGGCTCACACTTTGACGACAGTAGCTCAGTGGACAGCGATTAAAAACGTGTTGATATGCTGGCTTTGTACATTCCACCTTACAGCTTAGTTTAACCAAGGTCAAAGTGCATAAGGACTTACATAATAAACAGTGCGCCTCACCCATCTACGTAAAACAATGAAGGATCCCTAATTTTGAGCATAATCGACTAAAATTTTGAACACACAAACACTTATTTAAAAAAAAAGAAAACGAAAATGCAAAAATAAAATATAGAATATAGCAACATGATTGACTACTGTACAATAATTTCGGACACCCGGTTGTATAACAAAAAAAAATGTTACATAGTCAGGTTTAAGTACATGATTCTTTATACAGTGCAGGGCAACGAGTGTACGAGTATACTTCGAGACTAACGTGACAAAATAAAACCTGTTTTGTGCATCATTTACATAGATACTATAATTACACAAGATTATTACTCTGTTACTGTTACTATTAAATTTGTTATGTTACCTTATTGCTTTATATAACCTATATATACCTCCTTTGTAAATAGTATAAACCATAAGAAGCGTCGCCGCGAGCACCGCGCGCGGCCACTCGCCGTGACTTGGACCTTGTCGAATAGAATAAATGCAAAATTTATCATATTTTGCTTATTTCTCAAATATTTCGTAGACTTATCACAAATGTTTCATGTGGCAATCGTAGGGTTCTCTATCCGTACATTACAGTGACATTTTTTTGTTATATTTTCCGTGTAGGTTACCCACTGGATCCGGGAGCAATATTGCCATTACTTAGGAAATAATTAAAACAAATAAACGTTTCGCATAACGTACAATGATGTTAGACAAATGTGTCATGAATGACAGACAACACTGTTCGTCAACAATAAAACTTTAAATTCGCAACGACTTTCATGATTTTAAATAACGACACGGGAACATTAAATGATGGCATTAAGACAAATTGAGCACAGAATATAAATACTAGGACAGAATATACTTACAGCGGATTTAATTAAGCTCAACATTTCGTTGTTTAAAATCATGATAACATAAGAATCGTCACTTCGACAATTTATTTATAAATCATCGAGACAGATCGGGATGAAATAAGATAATTTACTGTAATGGAAAGTTTTACTTTGCGCAAGAACTTTTAGTTTGCGTAGTTTGCGCAACAACTGGACCTTTATGGGCATTAATAGTGGCTAATACATAGATTAATACCCAACTAGAACTAGATACAAGCGCTCAAATCACCAGCGAAGTAAAACAAAGAGAGCTATGACAAGTACAAAAATAATTTATCCGATGGCCAAATATTATCATATTTCATCCTTCTCCCAGTACGAGACGCGTCAACTAATTTAGTCAACGCACCACAACTAGTTAAGTTAGTCCAGCTCTTAACTAAGTTCCCTTAACCATATTCACAATACCAGGTCACGTTAATGGCCTACTGGCTAAACTTCTGTTACTAGAACATTCTTCGATCATAGTGACTAGAGTCCGACTGGTCTAGAAATTGTATGTACAACATTTCCTATTGGCTCGATTTTGGGTAATGAGTAAACACTTGTAGGTATGCTGTGGTTTGTAGTTTCTTTAAAGCCACATTATTTCAAGAGAAGTTGATTACAATAGCGAGAAAGACGTCTCGACGAAAATAAGGTAAAATTCTTGGGATGTCAAGACAAAAGAATTTGTTTGAAATGGGCGTGCAGTGTCTATATGTGAGCAGTCGGACTCGCTGTGACCTTGTGGGTCGGTACACTAAATAAAGGCTACTTTAAATTTATCTAGTAGTGGGCCGGGCGGGCGGCAGTGCGGAGGCCCGCGCCGCCATCACAACAGCTTGTGCTTCCCGTTGTGTGCGGGCGCCGCGCCCCCCACCCCCCCCAGCGCGCGCTCCGCCGCCGCCGCCGCCGCGTGCTCCATGCCCTTCTCGATGCACGCCTGGTACGTCGGCTTCATGAACTGACAAAAATACACACTACGTTAGCATCATGTCAAACGATAGTACCATCAATGGCTAGTATTAGAGAAGTAATCCCAATCTACTCACGTTCTCCCACAGTAGGTTCGCGATGTCGTCTATTGTGACACCAATCTCGCGCATCTCTCCGCTGTACCTGTGACAATATAGAGCAATGAGAAGTGAGCACATGAACAGACACAGGATCATAGTGTAGACCCTACTTCGGGGGTATGTTATGAACTCAAAACAAACCATCTACAAATAATTATTATTCTTCGGTCAAGTTATTACTAACAGTTTGACTGTAATAAAACATGTTGACTAAATCTGTGCGTAGATAAATAAAATTTAAACGTCTTGATCTATCGACTGACTTTTAGGTTTTGTCTGTTACATATATATTTATGTTGCCATTATTTAACGCGAACTATTTGTGCAATAAACTAGACGTAGATAATAAAGTAGTCAGGTAGTTACCGGATGTATGCCCAGAGTACTAGAGTGAGCAGTGCGATGCCCATGGTGAGGTTGGCGAGGTTGGCGAGCGGATAGAGCCCGACGAGGCCGAAGACTCCGCTGAGCACGTAGAACACGAGCGCCAGCGCACAGAACACGGACGGCGTGCGCGCCGCCTTGAATATATTCTTCGACTCGTTCTGCGCCCGGAACTGGTTAAATTGCTCGTCTAAATCCTGGAAGTAAGTGTTGTGATATTATATCGTGAGACTCTTAAGTCGAATGATTATAACAGCGAGAAGGACGTCTCGATAATATTTACAGCCTTGTTTTGCCGTATAAGTGAGGTTACCGGAGGTCCAATCCTTTCCCTTCCCCTATCCCTAAATCTCTACATTCCTTATCCGTAACTCCTCTGTTGTACCGGGTGTCAATTGCTTGCGATCAGGTAACCCATCTACTGGTTTGCCGACCAATCACATAAAAAAATTACATTGTTCTTTAACATTCATAAGTGCTATTTTTGTCTATTGAAATCTTGACACTCAACTACAGCAATGACATCAATAATATTTGGCCAGCTAGAAGTTACCTGTATTAACTGGGTGAAGTAGCTCTGACTAAACTCGTCGCCGCCCATCTTGCGTTTGGAGTGGAAGGAGTGTAGCGCCTTGTCCTTGATACGTGAGTGCTCGGCCTCCAGCAGTTGTGTCTGCAGGTAGGGCTTCGCCCCGCCGCACACCTCCTCCATCAGCTTCGTGTACAGTTCCTTTGCCTCCGCTACCGCTGTTAAGTTGTTGGCTTCGGCTGTGGCCTGAAAACAACAATAAAACATTATATCACGAGTGAACGACTGAGGCATTTCTTTAGTTGTTTCCGATTGTTAAGAAGTTAACATTTTATATAAAAAGATGGATAGACCACTTGTATGAAATAGATAAAGTCGGACTATTGTCGAATAAATATACAACTCACACACTCACACAGCGTTGTTTCGCTGTGAGTGAGGTTACCAGAGGCTTAATCTCTCTGCTCCCCCAATCCCTAATCCCCAATAGGTCGGCAACGCACTTGTAACTCATCTTACCATTGCTTTGATTGCTTACCATGGTAGGTAGGTAGATATTACGTCAGCTCGTTTGCTGACCTATCACATAAAAAAACTTTTCTTATTAACAATTCGTTTTCGTGAAGTTATATAACACTTAATGAAATCTTAAGTTAATAAATAGAATAATACTGACCACAAGCATGCTCTTAGGCTCGGGCAGTTCGTTTCCCTTGTAAATGTTCATGTAGGACTTGAAGTACTGGAGCAGGTCCTTGGCGCGCACCTTCTGCCCGTTGATGAGCTTCGGCACCAAGTTCTGCGGGGCCAGCAACATCGGCACCAACTGCTGCAGCGAGCATTTGAACTCCATCTCGATGTCTGGCCAGATACATATTTTTTTTTTACACAGTGTTAAAGGAGGTTTTCTACAATTATAAAACCTCATTTACATTTTGCTATTTTCTTGTCTGTTACATACAATTGAAAGTCGATTTTTATGTTCTAAATAAACGATACATACCTATGGTATTATGTAAATGACCCTCAATTTACTGGATTTTATTATATTGCTCTCGTGTGTTCAAGAACATGTAACGTGTTAATGAAACTTAATTTGTCACAATAAACGAAATGGTGAGAAAGCAAAGGTAAGCATAGATTCTCTAATGTTATATTTCCCGGTTAACGGAAAGAGCCTTTAAAAGAGATCCTATCACATTGTACTAAATAAATGTCTTCCTTTCAACTCTTTGTAGTATTGATATGCACGAGTTATAAACAACATTTAGTATTAGGTATAGCAGCAATTTATTCGGATTGGTGTACCTTTAACTCTGCCATCGAAGTCCTGGCTGGTGGCGACGCGGATCCCGGGATGCGGCATGAGGAAGCACGCTATCTCGGAGAAGCACGACGTTATGTGCTTGCGCAGGGATTGTAGCTCCGGGTGCTGGTTCGACGAGACCTGGAGGAATTATTACTGTGCAGTCTTATATGTATCATTTCTTCTATATATATAAAATAAAGTCGTGTTAGTTACACTATTTATAACACAAGAACGGCCGATTTGGCTGAAAATTCGTAGGGTGGTAGCTAAGAACTAGGAGAAGGACATAGGATAGGATAGAGAAGGTAGTGTAGGTAGGGTAGAGTAGGGTAGGTAGACAAATTATGGGAGCGACGCCGCGGGTAAGAGCTAGTATCTATATATACAACAGCTGATCGTCACGGAAGCTACACGTGATGATATAACACGTAGTTAGACCATCTTACAGGAGCTAACAGACATTGTGTTTGTTGAGGATTTTCCCAGTATCGCTTGAGAATATCATTTGAGTGCAATGTCCAGGGGTTTAGGCAAAATCATGTTTATACATTTACGATGAAAAAGTAATCTGTTTTGGTATTACAAATGGGGATTACTAAATCTACGAAAAGAAGGAGTTATGGTACTGCTGTACCTTCTTTTTTTACTATATTGATAGCTACCTTGAGTCGTCGCTGCAGTATGGCGCGCCCCCCCTCAGCCCCGTAGGGCGCCTCGTAGGGGAAGCTCCAGTCCCTCACCAGGAACTGTAGCCTTTGGAAGGGCGTGCGCCCGCTGTCTTCTAGTGCGAGTCGCCCATACTCCGTGAATAACTGAAATATTATAATTGAACACGTTAATTTAGTCATAGGCGAAATGTGAAATGAGGAATTTGTAATTTCTTTCATATGTTTGTGTCGTATGTCGTAATTTATTATATATACATTTTACACACTTTTTGAAATGTGAACCTAAAGGTTGTTTATAAACGTTGCCCCACACTAGGATTGTCTCCGGTGTCGTGGTTGCGTTTACAAACAATACAATTTCATATGCACATCACACCCAGACCCGGAACAACAATTGGTAAATCACAAAAAGAGTTGTTCCGTCCCGTTCCGTCGAACCCGTGACACGTTGCGCGGCAGCCAGCCCAGCCATAGTGCCAATCGAGCAGCCAAAGTGGTGTAGTGGTGGTACTAACCTGTAAATGCTGAAGGTCGTCCTCCTGAATATTCTGCGAGAGGTTGTATATGAGGACGGAGGACACCATGGTGGACAGCGCAAAGATCGTGGCGCAGTCCCGCACCGTGGACTCACTGTCGAAAGCACCTTGAGTGTCCAGGAGGATTATCGCTACCTGAAAACAGTAGAGTTTTTTTTGCTCACACACAGATTCTACACAATCATCCAACCCAGATCTATAACTATCTGCAAAGATTAAGCAGTAAACATTTCTTATTGTGGGAGTACAATAACCTGTAGTCTAAGAATGAGACCATTTTTTATGGTCTAGTTTTTCTGTAGTAGCCTTAGTTTAGCTAAATCATTATTGTTACCAGCCGGAAGACGTCCACTGCTGAACAAAGACCTGCATATATTCAGTTAAGTTGGCACCCACCTTCTCTCCGTTGTCGAGCGTGGCCTTGAAGATCTCTGACCACATGAGTATACCGGTGGTGTCGCGCTCGGAGCCGCCGCGCCAGTTGAAGCCCCGCAGCGGCTCCTCGTCGCCGCCCAGCCAGTCCATGCCGCCGTCTGACCCATACTGGAAGTGAATCACGCAACTAATTAATTACATCATTACGTTAACCATTTTAAAGCATAAGTTACAAGTAAAGTTAAGTAAAAGTATCTTCAAACATACAGCGTACACAATACAGACATCAAACGGCAGACGTATTGAATGTACAGATACTAATAACAATTTCAACCAGTGTCACGTACCTTGTGATTCAAATAACGCAAGAAGAAGTCGAGCAGGAAGGACTTGCCCTTGCGGAAGGCGCCGGCGACGGACAGTACGACGACCGGCCGGTCCTTGATGTCATCCTGCAGCAGGAGCTCCTTGAGCACGTCCTCGTCGAGGGTGAAGGTGTGGTCGGCGCCGGTGTTCACCACCTGCACGCCGTGCGGCCCGCTGCGAGGCGCCGGGGTCGGCTTCTCTGTTACTGGAAATCACGAACAATTAGCCTTAATCATAAGCAATGAATGCGCTAATCTCCGAAAATACTGGTTCGAATTTAACAATTCATATGATGTTTGCTAGTCAATTTATCTAGGCAAACTGTAAGACATCATGCTACGATCTATAGGAGCCGAGCATCGGGTGAAATCGCGAGAATAGCTAGCTAGTAGTGGGAGCAGTTAGGAAAATAATTCCAAGTATGCCTTAACAATAAACACTCAATTAACTTCGTTTTTAGACGACTTATTTAACGTAAATGAAAAGTTAATGGCTAAATGAATCATAATTAGTTGTGTAATGGGGGCAAAGACAACTTAACTGACATTTTGGCTGAATACCAAAAACGGTTCATTTGCCCCCATTGAAGTTTAAATATGGAGTGCCAATATTGAGCCGACTTTTGTCAGTGTGTTGCAGTGTTATTTATAGTAGAGAGAGTTATTAATAAATGTCTTAATTACAATTAAATAAAATACACTTATTTTATTATATTCTTAGCATTAAAAAAGGGTATAAGTAGCATGTTAAAATAGTTGACTCGTCAAGGTAATCAAGCGCCTGAAATATCAGGTACCGGTAGCACGTTCATAAAGTATATAATTTGTCAAGACAATACGCGAAGTAAAAGTGCGAGGTGAAATAGTATAAGTTATCTTTCGGCCTCAGCTCGTATCGGAAGGTCGCGGATTTACAAGAGCCAGATAACAAGATACAACTAGGTTTTTGCATTGAGATAAACTAATGTCTGTTTATTGTCGGATTGGCGCCATTCAGTATTAAAATTTAATGTGTCTTTCCAAACTATCTATTTACTAGTTATCAAGTTTGTAAGTGGTTTCGTTCCAAAAACAACATTCAGTTGTCTGACACATCTGTCTCTTATGAAAATTCATCAAAATTCGTTCAGTAGTTTAGGAGAGGATTTTTTAAAAAAAAGATAAAAAAACTCTGTTTTTTACATCTTAAGCTATTAGGGTTGGAATAACAAATGTATTTAATTAAATATAATCTTAAAGTATCTGTTTTCAATCCACAAAACAAGAAACATTTACATGATTTTAGTGCTAAAATTGGAATCTTTTACAATAATTGCAATGAAGTCAACAGAACGAAATGTCAAACTTTTTGGGGACATTTCGAAATATCGTTTTAGAATATTTGGTAGTAATATGACTGATGAAATCTACATACAATAGACAAATACGTAGTCACCACCTGTTTAGATGATTCAGCGTTAATATACGCAACTATTGCCATTATTCTGAAAGATATAAGACACGAATCGTCACACTGCACGTTTAGGGACATCTGATTCTGATAAGGTGATGCATAATTTCGAAATATATAAGTGATTTTACTATATAAAATTCTCAGCTATTTAAAACGAAATGTGAATAAACTTGAATGCTAACCTTACGGTTATTATTTTGTATGTTATACATAATCATTATAGAATACACTACTTGTTTATTTATGTCGGGAGCTGACGAGGTTTATGTTCTGCCAGCCTTGTAGCCTAAGGGAATGGGAGAACAACTGGGCCCTTCGAAACACGAGGTCAGCCTTTCTTTCACGCCGGTTTTCTGTGAGGCCGTGGTGTCACTCTGGTTCATCACTGGTTGAACCGGCCCATTCGTGGCGAAGCATGGCTCTCCAAAGATTTATATTTTAGTCAAACGGATATCTCTAAACACTGTATAACCTTTAGTCTTTAACAGACATAAATGCATTAAGTCCGACTGATAAATTTTGTGTCTAGACATAAGTTCGGCATCCATTGTTTGTCCATCATATTCTTTATGGCAAGGTCGTGCCTTACGTGAGTTTCGCATAAATACTTTTTGTTTCGATCTACCTAATCAACTTATGATATTAGTGGGGTTTCCAATGATACGGGTTCAATGACATCAGAGCAAGGTTGAGTTTACAAAAGAAATATATCTGGAGGTATTTTTCCACTGTTTTGAAAACCCTTTTTTGTTCTAAGCAGGTACTTTATGGTTCAGTGTATAAATAATGCATGTGTATAGAATATTTGATGGCGTAATGTACGTTGTATTACTCTGAAAGCTTCTAAGATGACTTGACATCAACCATGTTAATGTAGCAATTTCTTTAAAAAGTTTTGACTATATTGTTTTGTATTTTGTGTGTAAAACTACAATGTCCATCTATCATAATAAAAAAAAAAAAAAAAGTCAAAAATCATTTATTCCAATTAGACCTTTACAGGCACTTTTGAACGTCAAACAAAATTTAAAATAAAAAATAGTGTCAGTCTGTCGGTCAGTCCTCTTAGTGAAGCTATTTGCTCGTTCCAAAGTGTAGATTCCGATGGAGAAGAACGAGCAAGAAACTCCATGGTTACTCTTTTTAAATCAGTTTCACATACAGATTCCTTTTACAAACAGTTGGTTTAATTATGTGAGAACAGTGTAACACTAATATTTATTCAAATATAAAAATAAAGTAACCTTAAGGACAATAGACAGTCTGGAGCTGACCAGTCCCAACTGACGGCGCTCGTTCACGAGCATGACACGTACACCAGCATCGCCCAACTCAACCATATTATAGGGAATTAAGCGATCCAGTGCCCATGCCACCGCCAGTGTGACCTTTCAGTGAGCATGACAACTCCAAGCTGTTATAAGGACCGACATTCTGCTAGTCTAACCAATTATAATAGGTTACAGGGCACTCACATTTACAAATTTAATCATCTTTTTAATCATCTACTACTGTGTCTATTCCAAATAACAATAATTATTTAGAGGATTGTTTTAGATAATCAAATCTTTACAATGATGTATGTAACTAAACATCGTGAGAAATCTCGATCTCATAGATTAACTATACATTTGAAATCGCTAATTAGTCTTGAGCAAGTATGATGATTAATGCTCAATCCTTCTCCGTGTGAGAAGAGGCCTTTTCTCAGCTGATGTCTGATATGTGTTTAAAGAGTCTTCGATCCGATTTTTTATTTACTCCTCCTATCTAAAATAATAACTACATTATACATTCATGTAGCATAATTCAACATTTTTAAATGGAAGCCCACATCAAATTTTATTTTTTATTTTATTTAGTTAATATTTTACTATGATTAATACTGTTGTTCTACCTATGTTAATTTAATTAGTTCTAGTTTTAATTTCTATATATTTTGACTGTATAAACGCATAATTTTGGTTAGCTATTAGTATATTAGAATTTTGGTTAGCTCGTAACTGCCTAGTGTATATGACCTTCTGCCTATAACCAATAAGCTGTGAGACCAACAAAGCTTACATTGCAGACAGAAAAAAATATTGAGTCTGAGCAGTGTTCAGACATATTATCTGCGTGCAATACGAGCAATACTTTCGCTATATTTACAGATAGTGGAAGATAAAAGAAGACATGTATTAAACGATAAACTTTATCGCAGTTTATGGAGAAACATCACGTTTCGTAACTACGTAAGTTGTTCTGAACTAAACTATTAAACTGGAGAAGATTTATGATCGGTAAATATGTAAAAAAGAAATGGATATAATATGTTAGTTACACTCGTCTTTAGCTAAATGACTATGATTTTGACTGTAATGCAGATAAATGTCATGGTATAATATCTTTTATTTCATCGTATATTTTTTATAGTACGCAGTTTATATTGTATTATATATTATATACACAGAATTTAATACAAACACATACAAACTATTTGTGCATAGAATTGAGAAAGAGAGAGAATTTATATCAACTTTTCATTGAACAGACTTGGTTTTCCAAAGTTCAGTTATATGTTATTTAAAGGCTAATTCTTCAATAGTCAGATATTAATATTATCTGAGGAATAAAATTGTTGCTGTCACTGTCGTATACAAACATTCTGACGCGACAGCATCATAATTATTATTCCCCAGGTAACTTTTATCTAACCATTGAAAAATCAGTCCTAAGTAAGCTTTGTTATTTAATTATATAAAAATGTTAGTTACATAGTTTTGTTGTAAACTTACATGGAGCCTCGACCCTGGCAACAGGTTGTGACAACGCTAGAAACAATAAGAGAATATACATCAATTACTGCAAGACATACTTAGGGAAATATACAACATTTATTTATTGTACCAAATTATGATTAAGAGGTCCCAAGAGGTTTTAAAGTTGTCCTATAAGTCCACCCTCAAATAATAATGAAATCCTCTCAGGCGATTCCGTTACGGTTTTTTTATTGGTATAAATTGGCACACGAGCAGCGGATTACATGATGGTAAGCAATCAGCGCCGGCCATGGACACCAGCAACACGAAAGGAGTTACGAGTGCGTTGTCGGCCTTTTAGGGATAGGAGTTGCGGATATAAACATCGGGAAGGAATAGGGGAAGGGGCGGGATTGGGCCTCCGGTAACCCCACTCACACGGCGAAACAACACTGTGGGTTGTTTCACGCCGGTATTCTGTGAGGCCGTGGGATCACTCCGGTCTAGCCGACCCATTCGTGCCGAAGCTTGGCTCTCCCATACCTTCGGTTCTTAGGAATGTTTATGTTTACTTTTAAGGACGCACTTTTCTATTCTAATTTACCAGGGGTAAGAACTGTTCTTTTTATTAACCAAACAACAAATGAACATCTAATTTACGGAAACATACATAATGAAAACAACAAAGACAACAATGACAATGTACACTAACACGAAACCTAGTTAAAACACATTCAAGAATCAACCAGCTCAATAATGTATGCAACGAGAAAGAAATCGATTAATTGGCAACACAAACCAAGTAGGTCAGTAGAACTACAACATATTCAAATATTGTACATTGGCAACACGGAAGTATGTAACAATGGATATCCTCGGTAACTAATTACGAATAATTTGTACTTATAACAACGGAGGTTTGCGTGCGGACGCCAAGCGAAGGTCAAGAAGACTATGTCCGTATTATTTGGAGAAGTTGGATCCTAATGGCGAATTGGTCATTCTTTAAGCA